CCCCCCCCGATATATTACCGTCATTTACAGCAACTTAAGGAAGTTCTGGTGGCCTAGTGGTAAGAAGCTTCCCTTCAATCCAGAAAATATGCAGTTCGAATCCACCAGCTGCTCAGCGGGCGAAAGAAGAGCCTCTGAAAACCAACCAAAGGGTCAGCTATGGGTTCGGTTCCGACTCTAAAGTACTCAACAACAATATATATTAAAAGTTATATATTTTTAAGTATGTAACTCTTGGTCACCCTCCTCCACAAAGCCTTTTTTTTTTCCTCCCCCAAAATGAGGCTAGTGACTACTTCTGCCCCAACCTGGCCGCCTATTATTTGGGCTGAGATTTCCCGAGATGTGAAACAAGAAAACCCCTGACCTTCCCTCACTGACCACATCTCATTGAGCTTTGGAAGTGCGGTTCCCAAGGTGACGGCCACACTCTGGTTGAGTCTGGTACCCTAAAGCTGGAAAGATGTCTGCCCTTATTGGGACCCTAAAGCTGGAAAGATATCTGCCCTTATTCCCTTTGCGTCTTGGATCAGACTGCCGAGGCCCTAAATTCCAGAAGTCAGAGGAAGAGAAGCGAAAGGAATGGCTACAAGAGGTTGAAAACAGAGGTTCCCGTCAACCTCTGCAGGGGAAAAAACAGACGAGCATGCAACTCCCGGGCGCGCGCATGCGCGGCATTTGAACGGCCCAATCCCTGCGCGTCTCACCCGATCGCGCCCGCCCGCGCGCCTTCCTCTGCGCCCGCGCGCCCGGCTTTCCCCGGGATGCTGCGGCGCCTGCGGTCCGTTCTCCTTCCAACACCTCCTTTCACTTAAAACAAAGAAAAAAGCTCGGGAACCTCTCCTGGCCCTGATTCTGCCCAAGAGCTGTAAAATACAGGTCCTGGAGGTCGAGAAGAAAGGGGGATCTAATCCAGTACATCATAGGAAAATGTTGGACTTGCAGTGAGATGGTTTTCCCCCTCTCTGCTTCCTAATCCTGGAATCTGGGGGAGGGATGGTGGAACCAAAGGGTTGGAAGGGGTTTCTTTGAAAAAATGAGGAGCTAGATGGTTCATGCCCAAATCTCTACCAGCTCTAAATGACCGCAGTCCTCTGCGGCACCTGGGAAGTAATTCTGTACTCATCTTGAATTAGAAGACTCTGGAAGCTTGCTGGAGCTGGAGTTAAGGACAGGGGACTGGAAAAATCACGGCAGGGGAGACTGACTCATGATTAACAAAATGGGGACTTTTCCAGCTTTCAGCTGGATAAACACGGCAGAGGGCCACAATTTCAGTGAATCTCTAAACCACATCCCCACCACCGCTTTTAAAAAAATCAACCCTTAAAGTCATCGCCCCGTCCCACCCCATCCCCCAAGCTGTTCCTTCTACTCCGCTCATAGGGTTTGGGTTTGTTTTTTTCTCTCTCTTCAGACGTTCCCTCCCAGACTCTTTAAGTACCATCTAAGTGGTTTCTTCAGCCTCCTGACCTCGGCTCTATCTCTGCTCCTGATCTCTGTTTCTAAGATCACTAGGAAGCTGGGCTAAAAAGAAAGACCCTAACTGCCTGCAAGAGCCAGAGACAGACACAGAATGAAAAGTACGTTTGTCTTTATTGACATGTAAAGGCAAAATAACATCTTGAAGGGGCAGAGCCAGGATTTAGTTACTTGGAAATGAAGGCCTGGCTCACTGGTGTAGGCAGAAGGTATTGGGATTTGGATGCTCACAGGGACTTCAGGAAGGCCCTGTATTTGTCCAGGAAAGGGATGGTCAGAGTATTTAGCTGCTGCTGGAGCTCCTGCAAAGCCCTCTCCTGCTCTTCCTGCTCCCCCGTCATCTTCTGCCTGTAATAGTTGACGTAGAAGTTTACCCAGTCATCCACCACAGTCACCATCGCTTCTTCTGGGATGGGTTGCTTAGACATGACCTGCAGCAGAGGGAAGAGTATGGTGAACAACTTAGAAATACATGAAATGATGCTGTTGTTGTGTACCAATAAGTTGTAAATTACTCATAGCTGACCCTCCAGCAGGTATTCAGAGTTAGTTACTGACATAGGAAAAGAAGGCCTCTTTTCCTCCCTCGGAGCACTTGGTGGTTTCGAACCATGTGACTTCTGAGTTGGCCGTGCAGCCCCTTACCACTAGGCCACCAGAGCTCCCTCAAATTGACTTCAACTCATGCGGGGACTGTAGGCACGGAGGAGCGGAAGGCTGCCCCAACCTGCTCCCTCCTCACCAACTCTGTCCATTGTCACAGCCCCATAAACTCACTCTCTCTTCCCTCCAATTTATATTCCCTGTCTTGAATTGTTTGCATTAACTTCAATAGTACTTGCCCAGCTCTAAATTATTCTCCTTTTTCTGCCCTCAACTCCTCTCCAGACCTGTCCTCCTGTCACATAGCATGCCCGACTTACCTGCTGATTCAGCAGAGTGTTAAATTCTTTCATTCCTGTGGAAATCAGATCCTTGTTGGACTGAAGAAGGGCCATCTACCTACTCAGAAAAAGAAAATTTAATATCTTTTCCCCTTGGCCCTGAATATCTTTGCTCAGTCCCCTTACTTCCTAAAAGGTGCCTGGTACCCTTTGAGACCACCTTCATGCAACACTTATCAAAGCCTGCTCTGTTCCCAGATGGTGTTTCTTCCAAAGAGAGCTCACCTTCCAGCAGTGGAATGCTTCACCCACACTTCAGAGCACTGTGCCCCTCTGTGCCAAGCTAGATGTAGTCAAGTGTCAGCCAAGGAGGGAAACGCCCTGAGTCTACAATTCTGAGGGAGGCTGATAGGTCACCCTGGGGAGGGGAAGGAGGGAGAGGCTTCCCTGAAGTTGGGAAGATAGTGAAGCCAACAAAAATAGATATGGAAGAAGCCCCAGAGAATATAAGATCTGAAGTAGGCCCCAATCCAGTACTCAAACTTTAAACACCAAAGAAACAGACATTTACTGAGTCCCTGATGCATCACCAGAAACAAATCCGCTACTGTGGAATTCAAATCGAGACCCTCCACTGGGTTGTAAATCTTAACAGGAAACTGCCTCAGCTTTCTTCTGCCAAGTGTGGCTGGTGGATTCCAACCGCTGACCTTTTGGTTACCAGCTCAACACTTAATAGGCCTCTAGTGCTCCTTGTTGCATAAGGAGACCTTTTGAAATCATAACCCTGTTATGGCAATTATCCTCTCATTTCATAGGTATTAATAGTGTTTTGCATGACATTTATTCAGCAGATAAACCAGGCACTGTTTCAGACGTATGTGGAGCTATTGCTCCTTATAAAAATCCTATCACAACAGGTCAAGATTAAGTGCTATCAAGTCAGAACCGACACATAGCTGCTTTAAATGGAATAGAAAGTGATCATCTTTCTCTCACAGTGCTGCTGATGGATTTGAACAGTCAGAGTTGAGGGTTAGCACAACTTCCTATGGACTATGCCACCGAAGCTATTAGATAGGTACTTGCTATGAATTGAATTGTATAAAAAAAATGCTGTTATTATTTGCCATCAAGTCACCTGTGACTCATAGGGACCTTATATACTAGCATCCTAAACCCTGCTCTATCCTGAGCCAACCTTATTGTCTCTGACACACCTACCCCCGTTACCCCAGTCACTGACTCAATCCATCTCATTGAGGGTCTTCCTCTCTTGAGCTGTTCCTCCAACCTCTCAAGCATAATGTCTCTCCAAGGACTGGTCCCTCCTTGTAACATGCCCAAAGTATGTCCAAGGAGCACTCTGGCTCTGGTTTCTCTCTCCTCTCCTCTCCTCTCTCTCTCTCTCTCTCTCTCTCTCTCTCTCTCTCTCTCTCTCACACACACACACACACACACACACACACACACACACAATGTATTGTGAATACTAACCCCTCTACCTGGATTTATAATACCATCTGGGAATGGAATTTTAATGCGATAGTGTGGTCCAGGCTTATCTTGAGTCAGTTTCTTTTGAGAGGGAAAAGCAGATCAAGTGCAATGGGAGAAGATAGAATCCATGTCACATGCACAGGCACCAAGGAACAGAGAAACATGCTTAGAAATAGAGTCCACAGAAAGAGAAAACTTAGGGGAGCTCTGGTGGCCTAGTGGCAAGGAACTGCAACTACAATCCCAGAGGCGCACAGTTCGAATTCACCAGATGCTCTGCCTGGGAAGGAGGGACAATCTCCTCCTGTACCAGTCAGATCTGATTTGACGGTACACACACACACACACACACACACACACACACACACAGACAGACAAATCTTTAAAATAAAAAAAAAGAAAGAGAAAACTTTACCCTAGCGCCAGCTCTCTTAATTCAGACCTTGAACCTCCTAAACTGTGAGAAATTGAATTTCTTTATGTTAAAGCCTCTCCTCGCGGTGTTTCTGTCATAGCAGCATGAGAGAACGGGGATACTCCTGTTATTAGACTTGTGATATAGCTGACACTGCCTGGCAGTGTGGCACCAGGATGAAGAGATGTGCCTTTTGTTCGCTAACATATCGCAAGGTGCTCAGTAACGCAGATTTTTTTTTAGTAATGCAGAATTTTTTTAAACCATTTCCCAATTGCTTTTGACTGGAAAAATTTTCAAAATCTCTATATGAAATACATGGGGGAAAACCCCCCAAAATATACAGTGGGAATGTTGATTATTTTTATTCCCTCCTTCCACTTAAGTAGCCAGAATTAGAGATTTGTGTATTCCCTGTCACATCTTTCTTCATTTAAAAAAACCCAACCCAATATTGTTAAGAACCTACATACTCATAGAAGTCTGTTGATAGATTCTCTGCTGGATAAGGAGGGGCAATCTCCTCCTGCGCCAGTTTGATCTGACTCAACGGTACACAACAAGGAAAGAAAGTCTGTTGATAAACTTTTTATGTTTTGGGTTTTTTTAAATTTTTATTTATTGTTGCACATTTTCTCCCCCCATCCTCCTCCCTTAGCTCATCCAACTGTACCCCTTGTTCCAGATTGTCATTATACATAGATGTATTTTTAAGTTTCATGATATTGTTTCTAATAAGGGGTTACTGAGGGCTCCGTGATGGCATTCTTACCCTTCATGAGTGAGACCTTGTGGCATAGTGTGTTACATGCTTGGGGGCCCCAGATACCATCCTGGGAGTCACAGTAGCTTTTAAGAGAGATACCAAGAGCCAAAAGATGAACCTGAGAGTTGGGGCCTACCGAAACGATAATAGAAAGCCTTATGTGCTTCCTAGTATCAGAAAGCAGATGTCAAGACTGCTGCAAAAGATTTAAACAGGAATACCTCCCCATTGACAGATTGGCAGAACTTTTTAAGTTGTCTGCAGAGAACTTTTTTGTCTGGGTGAGAATAATGAGGTGTTGCAAAGTTGCCCATATGTCTCTGCTGCATCACCTTTTCCTATAGAGGAAAACATATTAAAGCGGTTGCAAAAGGTCAAGAAACAGTTTTATTTGGCATCCTGGGTAAATGGGTGGAGAGGGAGGAATTCAACGAAAAACCAGTTAGATCTTGAACATAGTTATCTCCTAGGGACACCTTCTGAACTGGGCGTTGAAGGTCACAATAATTCAGGCACCAAGGCCCCCATACCTCCCCTGGCCAAGCTACAAACAAATTCATTCCTTGCTGTGGAGTAAAAACCACCTCAAAGCGGACCAGCTAGTAGGTTTTCCCAGTAAGGAGATTGTCTATCTTTCTCCCACAAAGCAGCTAGTGGATTCGAACTGGCACACACTTTGGGTGTGTCTTTGGGTTAGCAGTGTAACCTCCTACGGCCAGCCAGTCTACCTCGAGCTCTGTACAAGCTAGAGGTGTTGTTGTTGTTAGGTGGCATTGAGTAGGCTAGGACATGTAGCAAACCTATGAATAACAGACCTAAACCTTGCGCTGTCCTGCCCCATACTCGATCCCATCGTTACAGTCACGACGTCATTCCATCTTGTTGAGGCTCCTCTCTTTGTCTGACCCTCCACCTTTCCCAGCATGACGTCTTTTTCCTAGGACTGGCCCTCCTGACAACTTGCGCAAAATATTTGAGACCAAGTTTCATGCTCCTTGCCTCTAAGGAGCATCCTGGTTGCTACACAAAACAAAGACCGGGCCCACCCAAAGGTATCCGAAGTCGGAAACCAGGAGGTCACCGCGGGACAGACCAAGTTTCAAGCCCTGCACAAAAGAAATTATGGAACCCAGCTCCCTTTCGCAAAGGAAATTGTCCCTCCGCAGCCGCCGTAGCCGTACCGGAAGTGCTAATGGCCACGTTTCTTCTAGTGTCTGGCTGGGACGTGGAGATCAGGGATGGCTGAAGATTCGGGGCTCCAGGCGGCCCTGTGCTCGGAGCAGTTTGGCTCCGGAGCGGCCCGGGGCTGTCGCGCCGCCGCCGATGGGCGCCTGCAGTGGGAGGCCGAGGGGCGGCGCTGGTGGGGTTCCCCCGGGAACCGAGGGGGCGCTGCCTCGTCGCCTCTCTCCGGTCTCGTGTCTGTGTTCCTGCCGCAGGGCTTTCCTGACAGCGTCAGCCAGGACTACCTGCCCTACCAGTGGTGGGACTCCGTGCAGGTCAGCCCAGCCGGCCGAGGCCCGCGGCGGGGCCGCTGGGGGGGAAGGTCACCGCCCTGAGCACCCTCGTTTGCAGAAGGGAGACTAGCGTGCAGGGGGATTCTTTACCACCGGCCGAGTCACACACTCAGAAGATGACCCTGTAAGAGCTTAGACCTCCACGCTCTGCCCACGCTCCTCACCCTACTTCTCTCTCTTCTTCAGGCCTTTGCTTCCAGTCTCTCGGGCTCCCTGGCCACCCAGGCGGTCTTGCAGGGCATAGGGGTGGGGAACGCAAAAGCTTCTGTTTCGGCTGCCACGGCTACCTGGCTGGTGAAAGGTGAGATGGGCAGCTGGAGCTTCACCTGTCACCTCCTCCCACCTTCTTCTGGCTACGGCTCCCCCTTTCCTCTCACCTCATCGTTGCAAAGGCCAACTCTTCCTTTCCCCCTTAAACAGCGTTCTGAGCTCTGATCTGTGATATGAATGGACCTGTTAAGGTTAAAAAAAAAAAAAAAGACAGGAGTCAAAACTTCCCCATTGCTTAGAATGGTGCCTGTCACCCACAATTGGGATACCGTCATCCCACACCCTAGGAACCACACCTCATACAGACTCCTCAGAGAATCTAATTAATCAAAAATCCGTATCACAGTAGTCATTGTATGCCTTCGAGTTGACTTTGAAGCAACCTTATGAACAACAGGTCAGAACCTTGTCCTATCCTGCACTATTCTCATGGTCCACATCATGCCCATTGCTGCAGTCATCTTAGAGTGTCACTCATCTTATTGCATCTTATTACCTCTTTCTGAGCATGGTGGCATAGTTATTAGGTGCTGTTGAGTTGACTACAACGCATAGCAACCCCATGAACAACAAAAAGGCCTGGTCCATTTTCCTGTGCCGTCCTCTCTCTGTCATGCATAAGCCTACTATCACAATCACTGTGTCCTTCCGTCTTATTGAGGTCGTCTTCTCTTTCTCTGACATTCTGCATTTCCTAGCATAATGTCTCTTTGCAAGGACGGCCCCTCCTGACAACATGTCCTTAGAGTGTAGTTATTGAATAAAACTACTTTCTCACTGGAATAAGGGAAATTGCTTAATTTCAAAGAAAGTGCCCAGAGTAAATAGTCCTGAGTTGAAGAGAGGAAGTTCCGAATGAAAGGCATTGTAGCGTTTCTTCCATACCCAACAATTCAACCCATTGCCGTCTCGTCAGAAGTAACTCATAGCTGATCCTCCATCTGGTTTTCGGAGGCTGTAAATTGCAGAAGACGAGATGGTGCATCTTTCTGCCTAAGAGCTCCTGGAGGATTTGAGCTGCCTGTCTTTGGGTTGGCAACACAATTCTTTATCCACTAGGCCGTAAGAGCTCTGGTACTAGAGGATGTTTTAAATATTGATTATAATTATCTGTGGGAGGGCTTGCAGCTTTTTCAAAACCACTAAAAGGGAGTGGAAATAGATGTAAATATTATATATACATAAATATATATTTGTTATTCTTGTATATGTGAATAAATGAAAGCATTTGGTACCATGCTTGTACCTTCTAGAGAGTGAAACAGAAAAGAGAAACTGCCGAATGCCATGAGTCCACAGCGGGAAAGCCACGCTCTCTCCCTGCCCTTTCTCTTGTACTGCTCTTCCTAGTGGGTATTTAAATCAGACCCAAGAGAGGACCATTGTCCTAGCTTCAGCTCAGCCATATCTTTCATGAGCTCCCGTAGAGCTTTTGAAGAATCCGAAAACTTGCTCACATTTTCACCCTTTAAAGGTGTGAGCAAACTGGCTACGTCTGAGCCACCTCTAGAAAGCTGTCCTTCCTCTGATGGTTCATGTAGCTTATTGTAATAAAAGTTCACAGAAACGGTCCTTATTATGTGCCAGTCTTTCTATTTATTGGCTCACTAAATCCTCACCTCAGCTCTGAGATAACCAGTGGAGAAAAGGAAGGCTGGCCTTTGTTACTTTTGGAGGTTATGGGCTGCTGACCATCCTTCCTGAAGTCTGGTTTCTCACACCATCCGCTTGAAGGCTCTAAACCCTCGTGCTCAGATTGGAGCTCTTGGTCCAGCATGTGAAGATACTCTGTGACTTATTGTGTTACACATTGAGCTAATAACAAAAGGTTAGTGACTTGAATCCATCATGTTCTCCATAGAAAATTGAGGGACGGTTTTCTCTAAGATTTGCATTTGATTTAAAATCTCATGAAGATTTACAGCCTCAGAAACCTGCTGAAGAGCCACAAGGTGCCAGAACCTGCTCAAGAGTAGTGGGTTTGCCCACCACAAGTGCCTCCCAGTTGGCTGGTTCTAAAACATTCCTTTGTTCTCCCCCTGCTAGACTTAGTGGGTTTTACTCCCAGCATAAAGGATAGTTTAAATCAGGAACTGGCAAAGTTTTTCTCTCCAGGGCCAGATGGTAAACATTGTAAGCCGTACAGTCTCTTTCACAAAGTTCAGTTCTATTATGTCACAAAACCCACCAAGCACACTTGTGTTCCAATATAACCTTACAAAAATGGAGTGGAGGCCCATGGAGTCTAGTTTCCTCATTCTTGGTCTAAATCGATCTCATTCTGATCACAGTCTGCTCTAACATGAGACTTTGAGCCTAGCACTGTGACTCTGGTTCACTACAGCATGTCCCTGCTTATGTGTAGCTGACACAGAGTAAATAACAGTTAACATTTGTGTACAAAGAAAGATCCCACAATTCCAGAAACTTCTCTGCCTTTTACCTGCTAGTTCTGTCGCTAACTTGCAGCTTACAGCCTTTTTCAAAATTTAATTATATTCTAATAATCTGTGGACCCACTGTCCAATCTGAGAGCTGGATCTTAACAGTAACTTACACTTTTCACTTAGGGTCTTCTACTTAAAAAAAAATATATATAAAATAAAAATTACCTATCTATATACACACATACACACATTTTTTTAAATTTTTTTTTCTTATATATTTTCTTATATATATGAACAAGTGCAACCAGGGTACTCTTTAGAGGCAAGTGTAGTGAAATGTCATCTCACATGATTTGGTTATGTGTCAGGAGGGATCAATCCTTGGGAAGAGACATCATTCTGAGAAAGGTGGAGGGTCAAAGAAAGAGAAGATGGATTGACATGATAACTGTGACTTGAGCATGACAGAGATCTCGCGGATGGCATAGCATATCTGTTGGTAAGGTCGCTCTGAGACATAGCCAGCTCAGTGGCACCTAACAACAACAGCGACAGCACATGTGCATAATGTGTATATGCCTAGGCAGTGCGTTATTTAATGTTAGGTGTTCTAGAGCTTTACTGGGGCGTCTGGAGGCCAAGTGGTAAAAAGCTGCGCTGAAATTCCAAAGCTACATGGTTCAAATCCACTACCAGCTGCTCCGTGTGGTCTCCTGTGTGATTAACTGCCTCTGAAAACCTGCTGGAGGGTCAGGTCACACTTGATGGCACACAACAACAACAGAGCTTTACTCTGTTTCTTGTCATGTATGTTGTCTTCATGACTTTTCTATGCCAGGTTTTCATGCTACTATGAATTTATCTGAAATAGATAGTAGTAGCTCATTGGCTTCTCACCACCCTAATATGTCATTGAATGTATATCCCAGAATTTACTTCTGCCTTTTCCCGTTGGTGGTCATTTTGCATCATTCCCAGTTTGTTTGTATTTGCTTTGCTGTGATGAGCAGTGCTGGAGAAGATATTCTTGTTTATGTCTCTCAGTGCACACGGCACGTGGTTTTCTTGGGTACATAACAGGGCACTGCTGGGCATGGGTTCGTCTGATGCATAGTCTAAGTCTGTCTGTCCGTAACTTGTCCCCTGTGAATTAGGTGACTCAGTCCCGGGGCCTGTCAGGTTCCACAGCCCCCAAGGCTCTTCCTTGTTCCTTATGAGTGTCTCCTCTCCCCTAGATTCAACGGGCATGCTGGGCCGCATTGTCTTTGCCTGGTGGAAGGGGTGAGTTTGTCTTCCCAGTTGACTGGCTTCTGGCTGCTCCTCTAAATGCACACGTGCTCACACACACACACCCCGCCCCCACACACCCATGTCTATTTTCATAAAGAGTTTTAGTGCGTACGTACATATTAGACATAGTTTACGTCTGACCTCTGGTGGCTTAGTGGTAAGGAATTGTGCTTTCAACACAGAAGCACCTGGTTCAAATCCACCTGCTGCTCCACAAGAGAAAGGTGGGCAGTGTCTTCTCATGTGATGACTGCCTGTGAAAACCCACTGGAGGGTCAGGTTCCGACTCAGTACTCCAGCAGACACAGGTCCCTGACCCACACGGCTCTAGGGATCAGCATCACTGGCTGTCTGGATCATGTGCTGCCTGCTTCCTCCCCAAAGCAGCACTGGGCAGTGCCAGTGACTTAGTCTGGGAGTGGTGACAATAGTATCTGCCACAGCTGGTGGTGGTAAGGACTCAGTGAGCCAGACCATGTCAAGTGCTCAGCATTTCATGTGGCACAAAGTAAGTGCTTAGCAGACAACTGGTCTTAACAGTGAGCTCTAACTCTGTGCCCCAGGAGCTGTCTTAATTCTCTTAATTTTTACATTGTCTCTAATTCTCCCAATAGCCTTTTCAGATAAGATTGAGTGTGTTCATTTTAGAGAAGACAGAAGTTACGTGCCCAAGATCATATGGCTTATAAATAGTGAGATGGAGGTTGACCCTGGAGCCTGTGCCCTTTCCATGGTCTCGGGCTGGATTAGCAGAGTCCCAGGCCCGGCCTGTGTATCTCACTCCCGGGTTCTAGTGCTGCTTCGGCTCCTGAGTGTGTGTCCTGTCCGCCACCCAGAAATGCTCCCTCCGCCTCCAGGAGATTTCAGATGAAGGATTAGGGCTAGTCCTGCACCTCCTGAGTTGGGCTGAGAGCTACAACCTCTGCTCCTGGGGTCTTGAGGAAGTGGTCCCCAGGTGTTTTTACACCGGCCGGGGTGTTGTGTTGCTGTGTCTGGTATGGAAGGGACACCAATCCACTGGCCTGGGTTCTTTCTCTTGATTTCCCCCCCAACTCTCGAGGACATCCAAAGGAAAGTCTTTCGTACTCTGAGCTAGTTATCTGTAAGATGAGAGGCTACACTAAATTTCATTACTACAAAAATATATGAACTTCCTGTTGGGCATCCTTGGGGCATCAGGAGGGAAGAGAAAGAGAGATGGCAGAGGAGCACGGGTATAGCCAGCCAGGGCCAGAGGGTAGTAGGGAAGAGCCCCAGGCAGGCAGGGTTTCCCTGATGAGTCGTGGCTCAGTTAGGAGGAATGCTAGGTGATGTTCCCAGGTATGGTGGCATCTCAGGCAGCAGGGATAAGTTGTGGGGATAGATGTCTAGCTGGGGGTGTGGGTTTCCCAGAGCCCCTAGACTTTCCCATGGCCTGAGATACCACTACCCCCATCCCTCTCCCGCCACCCCGCCTGCCTACAGGATGTTTTCTCCTGAACCCTTAATCACAGCATCCTTTCCTCCCCAACAGGAGCAAACTGGACTGTAATGCCAAGCAGTGGAGGTAAGGAGGGGTGGAGAGGAGGGAGCGCTCTGTATGACGGTGTCTCCCCTCTGACCGCTAACCTCTGACCCCTCCCCCCAGGCTCTTTGCCGACGTCCTCAATGATATGGCCATGTTCCTGGAGATTATGGCCCCCGCTTTCCCCATCTGCTTCACTATGACCGTCTGCATCAGCAACCTGGCCAAGGTACTCACCTCCGGGGGTGCCCCTGTGCCCAGGGTGCCTGCCTTTCTTGGTCATGTTTGGGGGGGGGCAGCTCACCTGGGCCCTTCTCTCCAGGCACTTCTAGAAGGGTGAGAGGGCTACATGTTTCTACTTGGACCCCACATCAGCCATGCTTTCCAATCCTCCTTCAGACAGACAGCTGACAATGAACGCCTGAGTCATTCTGTGTGTCTGTCAGTCAGTCCACAACACTGCAGCCACAGGACTAGCAAGTGGTTCAAGGTCAGCATCTTGACAAGAACTTTTCATTCTTTCAGTACAATACGTGCTGAGTGTCTAATGCGTGCTTGGCACAGCGCTTGGACTTTGCACAGAAGCCACATGTAACTGCACAAACATTGCAGAATTGTAACTGGGATATTCTGCCCAGATGAGAGGCGTAGGGACCTGAGAGGTTCCGGCAGGGTATCCAGCCTGATCAGGGGATGCCGGAAGGCCTCACCTGGAAGAGTCAGGTTTCATCTGGGTCCTGCACAGTGACGTGCAGGGAAGGTGTTCTGGGCAGAAAGGACAGTCGGGCCAGAGATCTCAAACAGGAAGGAGAGTGCTGGGTGTGAGGAGTGGACAGGGACTGGGAGGGTGGAAGGACAGACAGCGTGAGCATGAGCTTCTCTCTGTGCCAAGTCGCTACTTGGTGCGACAACTCATGAGGAAGCCCGGTGAAGTTCATTGAAGAGTTCCCCTGTCTCCACCACAGGATTAGGGGCCTGGCGTAGAGTGAAAGAGTGTTTCGCAGACACACAAGACTCATCTATTTAAAATCCCTTTAAAGGAGTGTCTCCCCGGGACATGGCAGGCATTTGGGGCAACACAGTTCTCCGTGGTAACATCTAGCCTCTCTGGCCCAGGCATCGAGTGGCACGTGCATACTTATCCTAAGGATGGGACCACCCTAGAGAGAAGGGGATCACCCTAGAGAGAACAGGGCCACCCTACAGAGAAGGGGACCACCCTAGAGAGAAGGGGGTCATCCTACAGAGAAGGGGACCACCCTAGAGAGAACAGGGCCACCCTAGAGAGAACAGGGCCACCCTAGAGAGAACAGGGCCACCCTAGAGAGAAGGGACCACCCTACAGAGAAGGGGAACACCCTAGAGAGAAGGGGAACACCCTAGAGAGAAGGGGAACACCCTATAGAGAATGGAGGCACCCTAGAGAGACTGGGGTCATCCTACAGAGAAGTGGGCCACTCTAGAGAGAAGGGGCTCACCCTAGAGAGGATGGGGCCACCCTCGAGAGAATGGGGTCACTCTACAGAGACGGGGTCACCCTAGAGAGAAGGGGGCCACCCTAGAGAGACTGGGGTCACCCTTGAAAGACTGGGGCTGCCCTAGAGAGAATGAGGCTACCCCAGAGAGAATCAGCACTTTTTCTCTTGTGGGCTGGGGACTGTGACTGATTTTCTCCAGGTTCTGCCACTAACCTTCACCCTTAGAACCTCAATCTCTTTTGTTGTTATGTCTTGTCCGGTAAGAACCCTAGTAGCACTGTTACCACATCACATGGCCCCCCTCTGCCCTTCACTCTTTCCTCTTCCCCCCAGTGCATTGTGGGTGTGGCTGGTGGCGCCACCCGGGCAGCCTTGACCATGCACCAGGCCCGGAGAAACAACATGGCCGACGTGTCAGCCAAGGATGGCAGTCAGGTGAGCAGCAGAGACTGAGGGGAACAACCTGAGGAGAGGGGCCCAGCCACGGTGTGGGAGCGTGAAGACACGGGGGCACCCCTGGGCATGGGGGTGGGGAGCGTGCAGGAGGGAGATGGCTGTTCTCAGCTCTGATTCCCAGACACACGGTCAGGTGTGAGGACCCTGCTAGCTGCTTATCCAGGTGCATCTCGACCTTCACCTTCTCTAGGCTAAAACTGAGTCTTCCATATATTGGAACCTCACTCCCAAATCTCTGTACTAAGTGCTTACGTGCATCATATAATTTAACTCTGAACACTAAAGCTTTGAGATAGCTAATGTAAACACCCCTGTTTAACAAATAAGTGAGGTGCAGGGAAGTTCTGGAGATAATGTGCTGATTTACCTGGACACTGAAGTGATTTAGAACTCTCTGACCCAAGTTTGGTTTTTTCCCCCCCAGCTTATAAATGAATATGAACAAACAAAACAAAAAAAAGGAAAACATTAATGTCTATTAATAATATTAACACAAGCCAATATTTATTAGTAAGGGCTTTGGTGGATTGTTGTGGGTTTTTTTCACCTTGTATGAAGAAGGCATGGATTCCATTTGACATGGAAGCTTGTGCATTGCTGTGATGCTGAGGAAGTTTCAGCTGAGCTTCCCAGTTATGATGGGTCGGAAGAAAGGTCTGGCAAACCACTTCCAAAAGTCCGCCACTGGAAGCTCTGTATGTCACAGTGGTTGGATCTGTAATGTGTTGTAGGGATGACTTGGAACTCGGCAGTGTTTCTTTTTGTTATACATAAAGTCGCTGTTAGTAGAAGGCTCACTCAGATGGCAGCTAACTGTATTTTTTAAGCATTAGCTGTGTGCCAAGTGTTTAATCTGCGTGAACTTATTTAATCTTTAAAACGGTTTGTGCAGTAAGAACTCGCTGTCAGCATTACAGGGCATGAACCAGAACCTACTGGTATCAGGTGGATTTTGTGTCCTTATAAGGACAGAGTGCAGTTCCCACCTGGGGGCTCTGAGGCTGTAAATTCTTACTCTCACCGAGATGGCTTCAAACTACGAACCAGTTTAACCACTGTACCACCAGGGATCCTAAGTAAGTCATGCAATTGTTCTGTGCCACTAAGTCAGAACCGACTCATAGCTGACCCTCCAGCTGGTTTTCAGAGCCAGTAAATCACATGATTGGAGGTTGCCCATCCTTCTCCCATGGAGCAGTTATTGGCCTCGAACTGTGGTCCTTCGGGATTGCAGTGTAACTTCTCACCACTAGGGCACTAGAGCTCCCTAAGCAAGGCACAGACAGGTCCAGTCTCTTCTGGGTGAGCTTGGGCAAGGCCTTTCTCTCTGGGCATGACTGGATTAGCTCTTCCTTGCAGTGTCTTCCTGCTCCAAATCCGTGGATTGTTGTTGTTGTTGTTGTTATGTGCCGTCGAGACGTTTGCGACTTACAGTGACCCCATATACAACAGCCTTAAACCCTGCTCTATCCTGTGCCAATCACTACACACCCATCCCGATTACCCCAGTCACTGTTCAATCCACCTCATAGAGGGTCTTCCCCTCCTGCGCTGTCCCTCTACTCTACCCAGCATGATGTCCCTCTCCAAGGACCTGTCTCTCCTTACAACATGTCCAAAGTATGTCAGATGAAGCCCCAGAATCCTTGCCTCCAAGGAGTAGCCTGGTTTAACCCTTTCCAGGATGAATCTGTTTGTTTTCTTGGCAGTCCATGGTACATTCAATACTCTTCTCCAGCATCACAGCTCAAAGGCATCAATTCTCCTTCTGTCCTCCCTAGTCATTGTCCAGCTCTCTGATGTATAACAAGTGATTGCAAAGACTATGGCTTGTAGTCTCCATAGAGACACCGTTGCTCTTGAGTACTTTAGAGAGGTCCCTAACAGCAGACTTTCCCATCATGATACGTTTTTTGATTTCCTGGGGCCTGGAGATGTAGTTCACCGGTAGAGCACGGAGGCTCACGTGCCACGGCTTTCTGGGATGGATTGTTAGAGATGGAAATACGGACCCTGCCTCTTAGGATCCCCAGCTTCGTGCCTGCTCTCTGGCACTCACTCTCCCTCAGTTTCTCCCCAGCTGTATGGCCCAAGACCCCCAGAGTTCCTCTGTCCACAGAGGCAGTAACACATCACCAGGGTAGTTAGCACGTTAACTCAGTAGTTAACTCGACCCCACAGCTGGTCCCTGCTTTCTGCTGCAATTGTTTCCATAGTCAGTTGGTGTGGCTGCTGGTGGTGACTGTTCCTGTGGAGAGAGGAAGTCCCTGCACTCTAGAGCCCCCCAAGGTCCTGGTCCCAGTGTCCTGTCACTTCCAGCCCTCATCCCCACACCCCACCTCCTTGCCAAGAGAGCTGGGCCTGGAACACTGTTGAGCTTCAAGGTTCCTCTGTGCTCTGACCAAGTGTCCCCGGGACTCTAGCAGTCTGGGGCACCCCTCATGATGAGTCAGCCTGTGGCCCGGGGTCTTTTCCCCGGGGGACCTTCGGCTCAGCCATCTCACACATCAAATGGTTCTAATACTGAATTTCGAGAGAAAAGACTGGAGTGTTGTTTGTGTTTGTCCTGGGTGGTCCCTAGACCACATTCACAAATGTGTCAGCCTCTTCTCGACTATCCCATACAAAGGGGCGTAGGGGGTGTTGGCCTTCTTCTTTTAAACTACCACATAGAAGGAGGTGCCACACGCACACACACTGTGGACTTTTATTTGCCAGAGTTCGGGAAGGCTCAGATGACTCCTGCCAAACAAAAGCGTGTTCCAAGGGCATTTCATCAACCGAGGCAGAAAAACAGCTGGCGTCTTTTAAATGACAGCTTACTCATCAAAAAAATGTTAAAAATTGACTAGGTCCCCACATCAGAGTTGGGACCCTGGGAGGTTCTGGAACAGGGAAGAATGCGGCAAAGCACGCGAGGCCGTTCCCCCTGCTCTGGGGGAGCCGCACCCAGCCCCTGCCTCCTCTCCCTTTTCCCAGGAGACGCTGGTGAACCTGGCAGGGCTCCTGGTCAGCCTCCTGTTGCTTCCCCTGGTGTCCGGCTGGCCCAGGTGAGGCGGGGTCAGGGCGGGAAGGAGATGCGCAGTTGGGCCTTCAACCTGCTGACCACCTCACCCTTTCTCCCCAGCTTCAGCCTTGGTTGCTTCTTTCTCTTCACAACCCTCCACATCTACGCCAACCACCGGGCTGTTCGAGCCCTGGTCATGGAGACCTTGAACGAAGGCCGCCTCTGGCTGGTCCTGCAGCACTTCCTTCAGAAGGGGGAGGTGCTCGACCCCACTTCAGCCAATCAGATGGAGCCGCTGTGGACAGGTGACCCAACCCTATGGTCTGGAGTCTGTGTCTCCCCTTCTGCTCCCCTCCGCGGGCATCCTGACCACAGCTTCCCTCAGGTTCCTGGCCGCCTGTGTCTCTGTCCCTGGGGGTCCCCCTGCACCGCTTGATTTCCAGGTGAGTGATCCAGTGCCCCCCCCCCTCCACACACATCCCCGCCGCCACTCTCATTCCTTCCATACGCTCCTTATTCGTGATACACACTGGCCTCCCTTGACCAGACCCTACTTCTCTGTTTTCAGTTCTTTCTATTGAACAGACATGGGGAGCAGCAGGGATGCTTGAGGATAATGGGGAGTGGGAGACAGTAGCTATGTGATGAGTTTGGGGTGAAAGGAAGACTGGTGGGGGGTGTTGGGTGGTAAGAATGGATGACTGGCTGTAGAAAGAGGAAGGATGGCTGTGGGGGACGTTGATGACAAGTGAAGGATGGGTGAAATAGTCCTGGTTGAGTTCTTTGGTTGATCGGATGGTCACCTCTGTCTTGGCTTCTTCCCTCCTCCACTGTCCACTCCTCTTCCCCAGTGTCTCTGAGCTGCAGCACCTGACTGAGGGGCACCATGAACCCTACCTCCTTTGTTGGAACCAATCACGAAGTGAGTGTTCAGTAGTTTCTTGGCCTCAGGCTTCGCCTCCAGCCCTAGCACCCCAAGCCCTGGACAAGCACACCACCGTTTAGAGGCTGCCTGGTGTCCTAGAGGGAGTTGGGACAGACTCTTTGATCCATTCATATGATAGCTTCTTTACTGGCTGCATGCCCGAGTGAAATTCACTTTGCCTTTCTTTACAATGGACCCAACAGCACCTGCCTCATTAGTTGTGTTTTTATGAGGATCAAATAAGGTGATTGTATGAGAATACTTTGTGTATCATAACAACACATTCAGTTGGGATTAGGATCTGCGGTCTTCTCTGGGAAACGACTTTTCTAGTATCTTGAGTCACCTCTTAGTGACAAGTCCTATGAGTTTTCTATCTGCTCTAGCAAATACCATTTTCTCATTTTTTAGGCTATTCTAAGGGTCTGCCATATAGAAAACTAACCATTCACAGCCCTAGAAGAGAGGGCCTGGCTAATGACAGGAAGCACAGAAGTGGCCACGTATTTAAAGATGCTTGTTCTCAATAACCAGTCAAGCAATGCAAAATTGAACGCACCCCAGTGAGCTGCTGTGAAGTTTTGTTTGAAAATCTCTGTTGGGCAGACCATTGTGGGGATAGCAGATGACTGTCCATGTCAGGATGAGGCCTCCAGGGGCAATCAAAGGGAAGCTCAGTGACGGGACGAGGATGCTTGGAGAAATGACTCTCTCTTGCCTTATGTTTGTCCCTGGCTTTCTCCAGACCAGGTCCAGGTAGTTCTGAGCCAGGCGGCAGGCCCTGAGACCATTCTAAGGGCTGCCACACACGGGCTGGTGCTTGGAGCCCTGAAGGGAGCTAGACATCTCCCTAGAGAGCTGGAGGGACTGAGGAACCAGCTGAGGGCAGGTAGGAGCCAGTGTGAACTGCTGATGCCTGGAGGTGGTGGGGTGCTCTCTCCCACTTGAGAATCAGAGAGCTTCTATTTCTGCTCCTCTCCCACACCAGACCCTGAGAAAGCTAGCTGGGCCATCGTCATGGAGACCCACCAAGTGTTGGACAAGCTATTCCCAAAGTTCTTAAAAGGTAACATCCCCGCTTCACCCACCACCTGGGAGATGAAAGACTTTGGTTATTTCTGTGGCCTCAGTTTCTGTGTCTGTAGCCTGGGGAGATAGAGTTAGGGTAGTTTCTCAGGCTGCATCAGTGTTGCAATCCTGGTTGTCACTGGGGAATTCAGGAGAGGGGAGACTACTATTTATTGATGATAATATTTTATTTAGCACCTTCTCAATGCCAGCCCATAGCCATGTTATCTCATCAGACACTTACAGATGCTCATTTTTTTAAGCCCAGAGAGGGTAAAGAGCTTGCTAAAGGTCACTAAGCAGAGGCAAAGGGATCCCCAGAATGCACGGAGTGGCTGTGCGAGGCCTGCACCTCTCCTTACCCCCCTCCCCGGAGCCTCCTCCGCTGTGGTCCAGCAGCACCCACCCCTGACCTCTCCCCAGGACTGCACGATGCTGGCTGGAAGACTGAGAAGCACCAGTTAGAGGTGGACGAGTGGAGAGCCACGTGGCTCGTGTCTCTAGAAAAGAAAATGTTGTGAGCAGCATCCCAGGATGGGGCCCGGGGCCCAGGACACGGAGCCAGGAGCAAGGATGCTTTGGCCAGAATGTGTGAAAGGAGGCTTTATTTTTGTCCCGGACAACTGCCATGGCAGATTGGCCAAGGTCCTGTGGGAAGTTACAGCCAGACAGATGGACCGGGTCCCAGGCAGAAACAAGGTTGAGACCATGGGCCCATCCCAACTTCTGCTCCCACCTCTTCCTTTTTAAATTTTTTTTTAAAAAATTGTACTTTTAGTGAAAGTTTACAAAGCACAGTGGTTTTTCATTCAGTCATTCATATATCTTGTTTCATAACATTAATTCCAATGCCAACAGTGTAATCGCATTTCCCCCAATATCCTCTCTGTAGTTCTCATCTCCATTACTCCCTCTATCCTGCCCATTTCCCCACCCTTTTCACCGCACTCCTTGGGAAACAGAGCCCTGACCTGGTGGTGGCTCACTGTGTCCCCAGAGTTGCCTCAGGCGTAAAAGCCCCAGAGGAATGAGGCCACAGCCATCATGAGCAGGGCATTGAGGTTGACCACACGGGACCAGCGGGGGTCCTCACTGATGTCCTCCATCTGCCTGGCTGCCTCAGCGGCCTCCTCCTGACTGGCGGGTGAGGAGCCCGCCCCACTCTTGCTCATGCCACAGAACCAAAGCAGGCATTGGCGGAATAGCCCTGGTGTCGGGGGCGAGGGCTCTGGGAGAAATGGAGACCCCGCAGTTAGTGGGCAGGAGGCGGCCCGGGAGAGTCTGCCCCCTCTCCCAGCGCTGCACCTTACCCTCCATCTCCACCGCGTGCTCCGGGCGCCCATTCTGCACGGGCGGCGAGGTTGGCTCTTCCAGCTGTTCATCTGCGTCCAGGTCCTCTCGAGGCTCTTTGCTGTGCCGGAGACTGAAAACCAGGCGGTGGAGCTGGGGAGGGTAGGAGCAGGGGCCAGGTGGGAGCTCTGTCCCCCAACCCTAGGCCCTGGTCTGTTGTCCAAACAGTCCTGTCACTGCTCTTCTAACCTCCTCTGCCAATTGCCATTTGTCCTCAGGCTAAGCCCCAGCTCCTCAATGAGGTACTTGAAGATGCTGGGCTCCCTTCTTTCATCACTCTTAGTCCCCTGTCTACACTCAGATTGTATCACCTTAGGCTAGTGTCCAGTCTCAATGACAAATCTTCCTTCTTGTGGATATTTGCTCAGTCTCCTCTCTCTGCCTGCCCCCCCCTTTTCCTGTGGACTCCTCCTCATCTTTCTCCCTCTCTCCGTCTTGCCTCCCAGTCAGCCCTACACGAGACTAAATCCTTCTGTGGGTTCCAAGAGGGCATCCTGTGTATTGAGTCCCAGTGGTCATGTAGAAGATTGGCTTTGGGGTACTTTCAATCCACAGATTATGAAACTCCTCTACCAACAGTCATTTCCCAAAAGCACCTTAAATAAATGGCATTTTATATAAAATATTGTGCTGGCTTTGAAAAATAAGACTTCGCCTTGGACTCCCAACCAACCTCCAGGATAGACTACGCAGGTCCGCATCCACAGAGCTTTCCGGGAGGCTATGGACTCGGGGAGGAGAGGGGACCGCAGGACCCTGCCTTTCAAGTCCAACCCGGGCTTACGTGCTTGCGTGGGATGGGCTCCGTGCACACGGAGACCACCAGGGTGAGCAGGCCTGAGCAGCAGAAGAGGACAATGGCGAAGTAGAGGTAGTGCACCCCGCAGATGAGTGCCGGGCACCGCGAAGGCCTCACGCAGCTGCCCGAGCCGAAGGAAAACTCGGGAATGAGTCGGGCCAGGCCCATCAGCAGGCCCCCAATCAGTCCCCAGAAGGCGCCCTGCGTGGGGAGGGGGCGGGGAGAGTCAGCCTGCTGAACGCCCTGGCTCTGACCCATGGACCCCATGCACGTGCCCACTGACCTTCTCGTTGACGCGAGGCACGAAGAGCGCCAGCACGAAGATTGCGGACACGGGCGGCGCCAGGTAGCTGGACACAGCCTGGATGTAGTCGAAGAGCTGGCCGCCCTGCGCTGCCTGTACCACGGGCAGCCAGGCCACTGACACGGCCACGATGAACACCACCCAGAGCCTGTTGGGGGGACAGCCCCCAGAAGATGTCACCCACACGGCCACCTCCCCGCGGGTGCCCCTGCCCGGGAACGGCGCGTGGACCAGCAGGAGAGGGAACCCAGGCCACACCGTCCCACTAGCAGCAGCTCCCGGTCGCTGGCGCGGGGCCGCAGGCGGTTGTAGATGTCCATGGTGAAAAGCGTGCTGCTGCTGTTGAAGATCGAGGCCAGCGAGGACATGAGTGCGGCCAGCATGACCGCCAGCATGAGTCCGCGCAGACCTGCGGACCGAGCGAAGCCGTGAGGCCTGGAGAGCACGCGGGGTCCACCAGGGCGCCCCCTCCCGGCGCAGTCCCAGCAGCGCACCGGCCCGTGTGGGCGTGGCCGGGGCGTGGCCGACCCTCGTGCCAGACCTCACCATTGGGCATGAGCTTCACCACTAGGCGCGGGTAAGCGATGTTGGAGCAGCCCACCTCCGTGCCGCACACGCGCTTGCACACCTCGGGCACCACACAGGCCACCTCATCTGCGAAGTGGCCATGGCACGGCATAAGGTGGGACCAGGTCACGAGGACTAGGATCCCTGAGGTGAGGCCCGTTGTGTTCCATACTGGGAACCGACCCAGAGCTGGCTCTCCAGGGGGTTTTCAGAGGCAGTCCATGACACGGGAGGAGATTGCCCATAAGTCTCCCATGGAGCATCTGGTGGATTTGAACTACTTACCTTTGGGTTGGCAGCACAAGTCCTTACCACTAATCCACCAGAGCTGTCTGAAGCAGAGACTAGGGGACCTATGAGAGGGAAGGTTGGACCCTCTGTGGAAGATGGGGCCCCTGAACTGAGTGGAGCTCGGAAATCTTGGACTGGCACGAGGGTGCGCACATTACCCGGGTAAAGAATGCGGCTGATCATGCCTGGCATGACCATGAGGAACATGGGCATCAGCTTCAGATAGCCGCACAGGATACAGCCCGCCTTGATGTGGGTCAGGTTCTTCCCAGCCAGGCAGCGCTGCACGATGACCTACGAAGAAGGGCTCTCAGCCACGGCCACTCCCCCACCTCCAGGCTCCCCCAACCCTTCCTGCCTATTCTGGTGCCACTCTGGTTTAGCTTCACTCTCAGTCGCTGGCCCATGGATCTGATTTAGATGCTTCTAGGATACCTAGTGGTGCGGTGAGCTAAGTATTGAGCTGCTAACCAAAAGACAGACGCTTCTAATCCACCAGCCACCTCAACAGACAGAGATGTGCCAGTCTGCCCACCTAAAGATTTACAGTCTTGGAAATCCCAAGGGGCACTTCTGTTTTGCCCAAGAGGGTCACTCTCAGTCGGAATCCACTCAACCTCAATGGGTTTAGTTTTTGGGGTTTTAGGTGCTTACCTAGGTCTGACTCCCTCCGGCCTGATCCCACCTTGGGATTAACTAACCTATAAATGCTTGGGCACAACGCAGCCTAGCAGAGCTAAACAGTTCTGACAGCGTGAGCACCAGGCCCTGGGACCAAGCCCTCCCCTCACACCTGGTCACTGCACCAGTACCAGCCCGAGACGATGGTGAGTCCAATCAGCAGTGCGGGCCACGGCAGGTCTCCTGACACAGGGTCCCGAAGTAAGTGGTAGGAGTCAGGTCGGGGGCGATAGCAGGAGCTGGAGATGTTGCCCAAAGCAGGGTCCTCGGACACGGTCAGCGACGTCACTGCCCTCAAGTATTTGTCGAAGAGCCCCGAATACCCGCCCACTTCGTGGAAGGCTGTGTGGGCAAGGCCATCAAGGGATCTAGTGCCCACAAGGCCCTCGGAGGAGGGGGAAACTCAGGTGCCAGAGTGACCTCACTTCCCTGCTCCGAGGTTGAGAACTCAGTCACGAGAAACTCGGCCTCCTCCCCCCGCCGCGCCCCGTACCATAGCCCATGAGGACGAAGGCCCCTGCGAGAATGACAAAGGTCTGCACGGTGTCGGTGTACATCAGCGCCGCCAGCCCTCCTGCGGGGAGCCTGGGTCAGTGGGGAGAGTCGGCGGGGACTCACAGGCTGCCCCTAGCATGTTATCTGTGCACATTTTAAATAGGCCCTTTGTCTCTTCCAGAAGAATATCAGAACAGTGGCCGAGTCTCTGAGCTAATGCTGCCGGACACCAAAACACTTTGTGATCAGAGTGCAGGCTGAGTGTGGGGTCCCACTGATGCCTCTTGGGCCAGGTGCCCATGTGCACGACTCCCCACTGCAGCTCTTCACAGGACTCTCTTCTCATGTCATAAAGTGACTCCTCTACGAGCTCAGTTCTCAGTTCATTCCATTCCCACTTGAGCCCCTCCAACCCTCCACCGGTACAGGCCACGCCCACTCCCGTCTGGCGTCTGGTCTCAGGCTCCGTCCTGGAGCTCCCCCACCCCTGCACTGGGTTTGGCAAGAGAACCCAGAAATTGCCTAAGTCAGCTCCCTTCCCAGGCTCTTAAAAGCTGCTGAATCTTGAATCTTCTTCCCCCACCCGCCGTCCTTGCTCCAACGCTCGCCTGGGGCTCAGTGCTCTACATTTCCAATGCGAACTAAGCAGGGAGAGGTGGAACTTGCTTTCCAGAGGTTTGGCTTTCCCTACATACCATATTTTAGAACCTCTTGCCCCAGCTCTCCTCTGGTGACTCCCTTAAAGCCCACCCACAGCCCCACCACGCCTCCAGCCGTGTCCCCTTCCCTTCGCCCCTCCAGCAGTCACCTGTCACCGTGTAGATCATGGTAATGCCCAAGAGCGCGATGACCGAGGCGTAGATGTTCCAGCCCAGAGCCTGCTGTATGAACACCGCTCCGGAGAACATGTCCACCTTGGGGGAAGGAGCCAGAGCGCAGGTCGGGACCCACCTCCTGCCCATGCCACATCCCTATGTGATCACCTTCTGGAAGATTTCCTCTTTTTATTTTTTTAAATATTCTAGCCTTCCGAGAGGCGCCCTGGTGGCATAGTGAATTATATGTTAAAAGGCCCTTGGTTCATATCCACCAGCTGACATACAGGAATATGGGACTGTCTGCCCCTGTTAAGATTTAAATCCTTGAAAGGCACGTGAAAGGAAGAGCTGGGAAGACCACAGCAATGTGTTTGGGGGGTGGGGGGTGGCTGGTCTTTTGCTTGTTTATTTTGATCATTCGAGGACTCATTCTTGCAGTCTTATGCAGAAACCTCTCCCATCAAGGCCAATCTTCCGCTTTGAAGCACAGAAATCCCGTGGGACAGAGTAGAACTGCTCCACAGGTTCTCCAGGGCTGTGATCTTTACGGAAGCAGACCGCCAGGTCTTTTCTTCCTCTGAACGACCGGTGGATTCAAACCGCTAACTTTCTGTTATCCTGCAGACCACCAGCGCACCATTGGGCGTCTCTAGAGACACCTCTCTGGACCCCGCCCCGGAGGCCCGTCGCGCATGCTCACCGAGATTTTGGTGAAAATGTACAGAAAGAGCGAGAGCACCGAGAGGTAGAGGCGGATACGGTGGCCGCCGAAGCGCTTTCTCAGATACTGCGGCATCGTGATGACGCCCGCGGTCAGGTACACCGGCGCGAAGAGCCAGCCGAGCAGCAGCACCACGAACAGCGCCTGCGGACACACAGCTCAGGCTGTATCTGTGCCCGAGAGCAAGTCACCAGCGCGCCCCTGCTTCCCCCACATGGGGTCCCTCGGGTAGAGGTACTTTTGAGCCTTGTACTCTGGGGAGATGGTGAATGCTAAGGTCTAGGAAGCAACTCCTAACTTGAAAAGGCGTAAGTCCCCATGACCAGTTTTACTCTTGATGTGACCTGATTCAGCTGAACGAAGGAGCAGGAGACCTTCTCTTTGTGAACGTGCAACTTCAAGGCAAGTGGCCCCTAAAAAGGTCACACTTGGGGTCCAGAGGGCACAACTACGGACTGTGGTCCTGAGCCCTGGACATTAAGGGCCAGGTCCTTGACCCTTTCCTGGACCTTTAACAAGGGCCCTCCTGGCTTCCATGAGCCGTAGCTGGACCTTCCCTGGACGGTTGCTACCTTACCAGTCCTCTCCCCGCTTTTCCCCTATCTTTAGCTCAGAAACCCCAACACAGACCCCTCAGTCTGACCTCAATGTCTGGAAGGCAAAGAAAGGCTCCTCCCTTCCCCTCCCCACCCTTCTAGGTTGCCTCTTCCTGGAAGCCCTGAACTCAGAGCGCAGAACGCCCCACCCTCCAAGGTGCACCTCAGCCCCGAGCTTGCTGTCTTAGCCATGGCCTTCAATTCAACCCAGGCAACCTCACAGTCCACAGCACTACCAAGCACTGCACTGCCTTTAAGTCCACTCACCTCGCGTCAGAGAGGAGAAAAACCAAGGTCCCCAGTGGGAAGTGTCTCACATAGCAAGTCAGGGGTACGACCTACCCTTGCCCTGAAAGTGGTCATTGTGTGCATCCCCCCCCTCTGAACTAGACCTTGTGACACTCACTCCCAACCCACCATTGGAACCCCTTTCCAGTCTCACATCCCCCTGGCTGGAGCTTCTCCAGGTACTGGTCCGCATAGGACTTCTTGTTGGGCAGGGCTATTACTTAAAAAGGGTGGTATCTCACATTCCACTCAAATCCCGCCACAGCCAAGCCACTCGCAGCACCGGTCCCCGCCAGGCCCACAAAATGGCCACTGCCAATGTTGCTGGCAAAGAGGGAGGCTCCCACCTGGGTGAGCAGAGGGAGGTGAGCCAGGCTGCCACCCTGGGCCTGCCCTCCGCCCGCCTCTCCCGCAGCCCAGCTGTGCCTTACCGGCCACCACACCATGCTTCGTCCTGCCAGGAAGTAGCCGCCCACCGTGCCTCTGTTGGTTCTGCACATGGACTGTGGGACAGGAGTGCGGAAGGCTGGGGTTCAGGGTGCATCTTGGGGTCTCACCAGTCTCCTCAGCACACTCCTCACCCTTGTTTTAGGCTGAAGGTTAACCAGCGCCTGACTCCCCTGATCTCCCACCACCACGCATGTCCTTGAAGACGCCTTGAACTTGGCTGTCTAGTCTGGGTCTGAGGGTCCTGGAAACCTTGGTTATAGGCTTCTGGTCGACCATAAATTTGGACAGAGGAACAGACTTCATCTTTCATGAATGCGGACCCTGATGGCAATCCACTAAACCCCCTCCACTACTCGATTTGGAAGGAGTGCATGTTGGCTCGCCAGGCTCCTTGAGGTTCTTACTTGTCTCACAGCCCTGGGTTTCTTTCTTACAAATCCAGACTTCCTGCCCCAGCTCCTACTATGGAGACACCCCCCTCACCCCTGATTTCAGAGGCCTGGCCTCCACCAGCCCCCTCCTCCCTGGACCTCTCACCCACAAGCCGACACCGATGACCAGTAGGAAATATGCCGCAATGACAAGGATATCAGCAGGGTTATCAATTAGGGCCTGCTGCTTCCCCACTTCTGAGTTTGCCTCTGCATGCGCCTCCATTCTTCCAAGGATCTGCTCCTCTAGGGACCAGCACCTGGATTCCCCCAGGGAAAGGATTAATGGTTACCTCAAGGGCAGTGAGCCGGCAAGTCCCCCAGGCCTTGCCCCCTCCCTGGCTTCGTTCAGCTGAATCAGGTCACATCAAGGCCAAGGCTGATCATGGGAACCTGGACCTTTTCATATTCAGGGGCACTCCTTCCTAGGCCTTAGCATCCACAATCTCCCCAGAACCATAGGCTCAAAACCACCTCTTTCTGAAGGACCTCAACTCTTGGTTCTGACTAATTCAAAGGGATCATTTTCAAACCCAAATCTAACAGTGTCACTTCCCTGCTCAGAGGCCTCTGAATTTCCTTCTGCAGTTCTGAGCACACTAGGTGGTCATTGTGTACATCCAGGTCTGTCTCTCTGGGGACACGTGACTGTGGGGTCACCTTAAGGACAAGGAGTACTCTGATTCATCTCTGGAGTCCCTTTGCTCAGCACAGGACTGACTGGGAGGCGGCTGGTGAACATCTGTACCTCCTCTTGTCTGTACCAACTATCTTTGAATGTGGGAGAACTGTCGAGGTGGATTCCTGCTTATGGGAGTTAGGATTATCACTGAGATAGGGAACTTAGAGAAATAATTAGGGAAATATAATAGGTTCTGCTCAAGGAGTGTTTAGTTTGCGTTCCCTCGGAAGATGACCTTGAAACAAGAACTTGGATGCAAGGACTTTATTTAGGAGATGATCCCAGAAAGGGCTGTGAAGGACTGAGGAGGCAAGACAAAGCGAGCAGAAAAGCCAGTGACATGTGAGGACAGTCATTAGCCAGTTATCACTGAGGGCGATCTGGGTTCAATCCCAATGAGGACCTTTGGGAGACTGAAGAACACACCTGGCAATGGACCCTCAAAGAAGGGGCAGCAGGCTGGGTTATTCATTCACTAATTTCTGCCCCACTGGTTGAAGGTTGCCAACACACACGTGCAAGCTCTTCTTGCCTGCCCAAACCATGAATCACACATCCTTTCCTAGAAAATGCCCTCAAGCAAGAAACTGAGGGAGCAAATGGAGAGTCTGGGCGCTGCCTGCATATGACATCCTAGGTGGGTCAAGTGAATGTGGGCAAGGCACTCCAGTGTCCACTTCAGTGGGTAATGATTTAACGTTCCTGAGAGAAATTCAGGGGGAAATGCCAGGGGACACAGACAAGCAAAACACACCCATACCTTCATGGTGGTCTTAAAGGTCCCTCATGTTCATATTGTAACCTTGGTCTCCCCTTTGACTTTATCTCTCACACTGGCCTTCTTTCCTTTCTTACAGTTGTTGTTGTTGTTGTTGTTATGTACCGTCGAGTTGTTTGGGACTCATAGCGACCCTATGTACAACAGCCCTAAACCCTGCTCTATCCTGTGCCAATCGCATTGCCTCTGACACACCCATCCCAATTACCCCAGTCACTGAATCAATCCACCTCATACAGTACTCCAAGTATTTTCCCTCCCAGCCTTTGCTCTGTCAGGGAGCTCTGGTGACTTAGTTATAAGGCATTGCATTACCAACCCAAAGGCTCACAGTTCAAGTCCACCAGCATGCTGCAGGAGAAAGAGACACAATCTCCTCCTGTGTAATTTACTGCCTCTGAAAACCTGCTGGAAGGTCAGCTATAGCTATGAGTCAGTTCCAGTCAACAACACACAGCAACAACAAACGACAACCTTTGCACTTGCGGTTCCTTCTGCCTGGAATGCTCTCTCCCAGCCTGACCAGCTTTTTCTGTCTTTCAGCATGAAATGTCACATTTTCATACAAACTTTTGCAGAGTCTCCTGTTTCTCTGATGCAGTCTTCTGACTTTCCTTCTTACCCTCCCTTTTCTTTCTTCCTCATTCCTTTTTTTTTAATTTAATAAACATTTACGGAGTGCTTCCGGCCACCATTCCACACACTGCAGAGACAACAGTCAGCAAAACAGACACGGTCTTTGCTCTCAGGGATCTTGCAGAGCAGTGTCAGAAACAAGTGTCTTTACAATAGTGGTGAGGGCTATGAAAAGGGTGAAAGAGGGATTGTGGGATGCGGATAAGGGGGGGATACTTTAGCTAGATAAGACCCCATTCCTTCATCACACTTGTCACCTGTGTATTTGTTTGTCATTTGTTTCCCCAAGGAGCACATTAACTTGGTCCTCCACTGTGTCTCTCACACCTGGCATAGTAAGTGCTCCATAAACACTTCATGAATTAATGCATTAGGGCTAGAGATGGTCATATGGAAGAGCAGCCTCAAAACCAGGGGATAGGTATAAGCCAAAGGGTGCATGATGCCTTCCAGAACAAGGAGGGAAAGATCTAGAAAGCCTGTCTGAGGAAGGTGTTCTCATCTGTTTTCTGTCCACACATGCTTTCCCTGGCTCTCAGCTCCCACCATGAGCTGGAAGGGTCTCTAATCCATCATTTCCAGCCCAGCCTGGCAGCCCACCTTCCAAGGCAGAAGGTGCAGAGGTTCTTCCAGATAGGATCCAAGGATCTGGCCCTCTCCTCAGGGAACTGTGAAGTTCAAGGTGAAGGACTGAGGATTCAGGAAAGTGCTGAGGGCTTGGGAACTCAAGTCTCAAATCTGAAACCATTCCCTGTTGGGACTTAGCTCAGGGGTCACCTCTTCCAGAGAGCTTTCCTTGACTCCCAAAGTGACTTCAAGCTGCTCCAGTTCCTGAGGTGACCACATTAGGTCTCAGCCTCTGCTTGTGTGTCTGTCCTTCCAGGCAGGATTGCTCAGACCTGACTGTGTGGACTCAGCACCACTGGACACTGACTGAGCCAGGGGAGGCCTCGGGGTTCACTGATGGACCAACTGTAAAAGTCAGTAATGCCTCTGGGTCATGCCCTCTCTCCTGACTTCTTTGGGGTTCTGGGCAGCAGCTCCTTCACGTTTACCTGGTGCTTCCACAGTCAAATGATGTGGGTGTCTGAAAGGTGGGACTGGGAGACAGTAAGCCAGAGCCATGTCTAAGTGAAATCTACAGGCTATTGGAGATGATGTGGGTCAATACTTGTGCCCAGATGCAAGAATGGGTTAATTGGCACTTCCTGATGGAGCTGCATCTGGGGTGGGGGTGGGGATCATTAAAGGAAGGAATAATTTTGGGAGCTAAACAAGGGCAGAGAGAAAAAGCAAACACTAGACTAAGTGCTTCTTTCAAGGATTGAGGACGTTGAAGAGCCAGAGTGGGGAGGGAAGGTGGTAGGGACGACTTGCAGGGGCTCTGGCCTGAGCTGTACAACTCTCCCTGGCCAGGCCCAGTGACTGCCTGATGTCGGCTCCAGTCACTGACTTGGGGGGGGGGGCCTGTGGCCTGGAGCCCCGGGACCGAGCCAGCCCGAGAGGTGGGTGTTCAGGCGCTTGTTCTCTCCAAAGCACGGTGGGAGACACAGCACCAGCGAAGCTTTGAAGGTATTTATGTAGGTAGAAAAAGGTGCACAGACGGTGAGGGAGCGGCGGGGAGGTCCCGTCCTGGCCTGAATTCGTGGTAATCGCATGCTCCCCCCACCCTTCGTTGGGGGCGTTCCTTCGAGGATGGGAAGCGAGTGTGGGGCGCAGAAGAAACCTGCCTTCAGTGAGTGTACCTTTCACGGTTACTCTGCGGAGCCTTTTCTGAACGTGACTTAGAACGCAGAGTACCTTGGGGGCGGGGTCTCCCCAGGGGGCAGGGGTCTTACAGAGCAGGGATTGGGGGACAGTCCCCACTCAAAGAGCTGGGCCTGGGGCGCCTGCGATCAGCCGAAGAGCTTGAGGAAGCAGGGCTGGCAGTAGGGTTTGCCGGCGCGCTCCTGGAAGGAGCCCTTGGTGAGCGGGCGCAGGCAGAAGGTGCAGGTGAAGTGGTCCGGATGGAAGCGGCGCCCCAGGGCCGACACGCAGCGCCCCGTCACCGGGAGGCCGCACGTGGCGCACAACGACCCGCGCCGCGCGTGGAAATGGTTCTCGCACAGCGGCCGCCCCTCGTGCTCGAAGAAGCTGCCTCCCGAGAAGGGCGCGAAGCACTCCTGGAGAAGGGGCCACAGGGGAGAGTCAGGGGACTGACCCACGGTGACCCCGCAGGCAGGAAGGCAGGCCTGCCTGGGGAAGGACTGGGTCCTGGTCCCCACCTCCGGATCCGCCCCACTGCCGCGCACCCTGCAGACGAAGCAGTCCGGGTGCCAGAGAGCGCTGAGCGCAGAGATGTAGTTGTCCAGAATGGGGCCCTGGCAGCCCTGGCAGCGCGGGGCGAACAGCTGCAGGAAGTCCCGGCGACAGTAGGGGCGGCCCTCACGCTCGTGGAAACCTGGGGGCGGGGACGCCAGGCTTAGAAGAGGGGGGCGGGCCGCACCGTGGACCCTCAGATCTGACACTGTGGGGACCAGAGGTCTGGTGGGGCAGGGTCTGCGTGCCTGCACCGCAAGAGAGGCCAGGGACAGAGAAGGTGAGGTTGGAAGAGACCAAAAAATTCGCCAACGAGGATTCAGGAGATCCAAGCCCCGTGGACTCAGAGTGGACCCGGGTCAGGTAGCCTAGAGGGGCAGCGCGGGAGGGGGCGGGGGAGGGGCTAAGAAGCAAGTCAAACTCTCACCCTCTTCCCCGAAGGGTTCCCTGCAACTGACGCAGCAGAAATGCTCCGGGTGCCAGTGGGTGCCCAAGGCGGTGACCATTTTCTGCAGAGAATGAAAGGACACAGTGTGGCCCTTCTCTCTCCCTCCAGCTGGGACCTCGAAGACAGGGCTGCGGTAGACCCAGGGTGCTGGAGAAATAGCAGGGATGCGGGAACCCAGGAGGAGGTAGAGGCCTAGGAGCTGCGGACTGACTGGGGGCTGGGGGTGGGGGGGGGCGCAGGAATGCAAATGGCAGAGGTCTGAGAGGCCCATCCTTTAGGTTCCGGGATACAGAGGAGAAGTCTGAGAGGTGGGCCTGGGCTCACGTGTTGGATGGGTTGGTTGCAGAGGCCACATCTTGGTGAGAAACGCTCAAAGTAGCACTCGGGGCAAAAAGGGGCTCCGTCCTTCTCAAAGAAGCTGCTGCCTCCGAGGGCCGTGGAACAGCCGCCGCAGACGAAGTGCTCGGGGTGCCAAGCGCGGCCCAGCGCGGTGACCACCTGAGGGTTCGGGTAAGGGCTGATCAGAGCGTGTGTGTGTGTGTGTGTGTGTGTGTGTGTGTCCACAAGTCCATTGAGCTAAAGTTGGCAGGACGCTGTCCCAATCTTATCTCTGAGACGACAAGAGGAAAGCACTAATGGTGAGAAAAGAGGTCACGTGTCAGACTGTAAGAGATAAAGACTGAACCCAAGGCTTTGAGCTTTGCTCCAAAAGTGACTTAGCCGCTAGGAGTCGCAAGCCTTGTTAGAGCACACAAAGCTTTTAGGAGTGTACCAAAATGTTGTAATTTCTTTTTAAGTCAGAAGCGGAAATGAGCTAGAAGAAGTACATATGCATTATTAATATATTAATCTTTATACTAATGTAATACAAAGACGTGGAGTAATAATATAGATTGGGAGAGCTCTGGTGGGTCAGCCTATAGCGAGCTGCGCTACTAACTCAAAGGTGGGTGGTTCAAATCCATCAGGAACTCTGAGGAGAAAAAGATGAGCAATCTCTCCTCCTGTGTGATCTACAGCCTCAGAAACCCACTGGAGGGTCAAGGATTAGTCAGTTCCAGTTTAATGACAATAAAATATATATAGATATAGAGATATAGAGATATCTCTCTATATCTATCTATGTATCTATCTATGTATCTATCTATCTATCTATATATATCTATCTATATATATATATATTTGAGAAAGGGCCCTAAGAAGGCTTACCAAAGTCATCACATGTCCTTGCTTTGCTAACACCGGGAATTCTGGGATGGGCACTAATCCTGCAGGAGGATCTTGGTCAACTATTGGGCACAAGTGTCAATCAGATTTGCTCACTTAAAGAACCAGTGCTCCCAGGCCAACCTCGGGTGCAGGAAGGACAAGTCTTTGTGGATGCTTGAGAGGTAGTGAATGGAGCCAAAAGAGGTTTTATATAGATTGGATTTGTTGTTGTTAGGTGCCATCAAGTTGACTGTGATTCACAGCAATGCTCTGACAACAGAGCAAAAGCTCGTCCTCCCTCAGACCGTCCTCACAATTTCACCGTGCTCCAGCCCACTTCTGGGGCTTCGTCTGACATACTTTGGACATGTTGTAAGGAGAGACAGGTCTTTAGAGAGGGACATCATGCTGGGTAGAGTAGAGGGACAGCGCAGGAGGGGAAGACCCTCTATGAGGTGGATTGATTCAGTGACTGGGGTAATCGGGTTGGGTGTGTCAGAGGCAGTGCGATTGGCACAGGACAGAGCAGAGTTTAGGGCTGTTGTACATAAGGTCGCTATGAGTCACAAAGGACTCGACGGCACATAACAACAACCAGCCCACTGCTGCAGTCCCTGTGTCACTTTGTTTTGTTGAGGGTCTTCCTCTCCTTCACTGACCTTCTATTTTTCCGAGCATGATGCCTTTTCCCAAGGACCCTCCTGACAACATGCCTAAAGCATGTGTGGCAACATCCTTGCCTCTAAAGAAACACTCTGAGGTGCTGTGACAAGCACAAAGTAGGATCACAATAAACAGCATTTGGGTTGAAATGTTCACCATGTCACATATTTGCTGTGTGACTCAAATCCTAGTTTCCTCATCCATGAAAGAGAAATAAATTGTACTCATTTCAGTTACTCATGACTAGAGAAAAATACAAAGTGAGCTGTTAAGATGGGTCTGTGGACAGCTGCCTCCCGTTCATGGGACTTCACTCACCTGCCCGGCAATGGGTTTATTGCAGGAGCCACAGAGGCCCTTGGCCTGAGTGGGAACTCCCCTGCGGCTGAGGTCCGACTGCAGCATCCCTAGCATGGTGTCTAGGCTGCCCTTATTGGTTGGCCCTGGAGGAGATGGGGAGCCCTCATTCGCTGAGCTGGGCGCAGGAGGCTGTGTTGTCCCAGAGGGTGGGAGCTGCATGGGGGAGGTGGGAAACAAGAGGGCTGAATCAGCAAGAGGGTAGATGTGAAAGACCTTAACATGGCTTGGAGAACCCCAAACTAACACCCACCCACATCTGCTGCCCATCTCACGTGGTTCTGGACACGGAAGTCAGAGAGCGAGGCCATCAGTCTGTCCAGCTCCTGAGTGGCCGAAGTGGCTGAAGGCTTTGCTGGGACAGGGGATGGACTGGGAGGTCTGTAAAGACAGCTTGTGTCAATTCAGATCCTTTCATGCATTTCAGTAACCCAGGCAACCAAGGCCCCCATCTCCTCTCTCTGAGTCCTCACAACAATGCCAAACTCACATGCTGTGTCTTTTCTTGTCCTCTGATGGGTCCTCCTTCTGGTCCTCAGCAGACACCTTGCTAGATGGGAACTGAGACATTATCTCATCTGGAGAGAGGAGAGAAGGGCACCTGGGTATGGGACCATCCTGAAACCATTTCTTCTATGACCCTCAATCTGTGCTTCCTCCCTCATCTCAAAGCCTGCCTCAGTAACCCTATTACCTGTTATGTTGAATTGGGTGGCATTAAGTTCCTGGAGCAATCGGTCCAGCTCACAGAGCCCAGAGCCCAAGACACCACTGGAAGAGGAGAATGGAGGGGCCGCAGAGGCCACAGGCTTCGGGGACCGAGGCTTGCACACCGTACTGGGGAACAGTGGGAGCCCAGGCTTAGGGCTGGGGAACCCAAACCCCTTCAGGTGAACCTTTAGCGGGTTCCTCATCCCCCAGGTCTCTCACCTGTACAGATGGTCCTTGTCCCCTGATGCTCCTGAAGATTCCCCAGCCCCTGTCTACAAAGAGAAGAGAGGCATGTGTGGGTCACCAGGACGGTAATCTGTCTCGCTCAGGCCACTCATGTCCTGATTTCCCCAGTCTGGCCACATGCCAGCATTTGAGCTCACCTGAGTCTGGTGGTCATAGGACAGAGGAGGTGTAAGCGGTTCTGGGGGCCGCTCTTTTGGAGCACCTGAGCGTGGCATGTGTGAGGTAGTGGTCTCCAGGTCAGAAAGTAGAGCATCTGTACAGAGAAGGTGAGGTTGAAAGTTCAAGTTTAGGGTCATCTGGAATTTAAAACTGCAGTAAAGTCACCAGGAATTAGAGGGCTGAGATAGGTCTTTAAGAGATCAGAGGAAAGGATTCCTTATGGGCAGTATTTTGAGACAGACGTCACTGTTCGCAGAGACAATCAGAAGAAGACACAGGGGTACCAAGGAATACTTAAGGCCAGAACATGTTGATAGGTTCATCCTGGAAATGAAGCACAAACCCCCAGCAGCCTGACTCTTTTATTCTCCCCATCTTCCCTGACGTGATCAAGATGGGTTTACTCAAGCCAAGTTTGACTCCATCCCTAATTGCTCAGTTGGCTGTCTGCCATGTACCCTGCTTTCTTATTGGACCTACTCTCTGCCACCCCCACTAGCTCTACTTAATCAGGCCCCGCCCAGTCCTGGCCCATCTCCAATCCCCACTGGATCCTGGGTTCTGCTCCTTATTGGTGAGTCGGCCCGGACCTGCGTTCTGATTGGTTTCTTTCCCACAATTACCCTTACTGAAGAGCACCCTCTACTGGACGGTGTCGAACCCCATCCCACAGCAAAGAACCAGGAGGACATGCCTGTCCTTTTTCAGCCTCCAAGACCTCCTCCTCCCCAATAAGTTCTTTTAATCATTTCCTTTCCAGAACCTAGAAGTCTCAGTCCCTTGTCCCTTTACTGTTCATTTCCTAGCCTCTCTCTAGCATCTTGGCATTCCCATTTCTTCTTCTTTCTACTCTAAGGACTTGACCTGTACTTTGAAGTCTTTAACTCTTCACTTCCCTAAACCCTGCAGAACTTCTTGTTACACGCCTCCTCTCCTTTTCCACTGTCGTAGACCCCAACGCAGACCTTCCCTTCCCAGAGGCTGTTAGCAGAGGCGTCCCCGCAGGCGTTGCACTTTCTTATCCATCCGCTTGCAGCCAAGGATGGAGGAGCAGAGCAAGGAAGAGGGGAGCGAGCGGCCAGCCCGGAGAGGCAGGAAAGGAGAGGCAGGAAGGCAGACGTGGAGTCGGAAAGGAGGCACAGACAGACGCCGGAGGGAGAAGACGGGAAGCGGGGATGGGGAGATCCGGGGAGTGCAGGGGACTCCAGCTTAAGGAAGCGGATCCAAGCGGCGGGTGAGGGGCTGGGGACCCGGGGACCCCGGCCCCACTCACCCAGGTCCTCCATGGCGGGGCGTGGGCCGGCGGCGCGGGGCGAGCTGGGCGGGGGCCGTGTCCGGTGGGGGCGGGGGCAGGGGGGACGTCCGGGAGCTGGAGGCCTGGCTGTGACCATGTAAGGAAGCGGGGACCCACTGGGATGGGGATGAAGTGTGTGGGGGGGCATGAACGGGGGAACCCGGGGTGGGGGCGTGGAGGGAGGGAAGGCCTCAGCCCACCCAGGCCCAGACGCTGGCCTGCCACAGAGGCGGCCACACCCCAGCCTTGGCCTCAGCTGCCAGAATCCCCGGGAGACTGGCCCCTGAGTCAGAGAAGTGAGAGAAAGCGCTCTTCCACACCAAGCCCTAGAACCCGGTGCCCAGTGAGACTCCTAGACAGAGAGACCCCTGAATAGACTCCCTTTCCCAAAAAAAGCCAGCACTGGATCCTAGACGGAGTCTCCTGCTACCCAGATCATTCTTGAGAAATGTGTCCCAGAGAGAATTGTCAGGTTGGAGCAGGAGTGATGATAACAGAATCCGTCAGACCGAGGTTCAGAGGCCTTAACAGACACCCACATGCACCCGCTTCCAAGGGGAACTGCTTGACCCAAAGAAATCTCGTAGAGATCCAGGTAGATGGAGGAAACCACAGGCTCCAAGCTGGACCTTCCCCGGCAAGGTGTGTGGATGAACATATAGAGTACACAGAAAGCCCCAGACAGTCTTCCACACAAAGTCCTTCTCCCATCCTGATGTGCCCTGGACCTGATCTAGCACGTTCACTGAACACAGAAAGGAAAGCTGAAAGAGGGCCTCACTGGACAGAAAGCCTGAGAAAGTGCAAAGGAGGCATTCAAGAGACAAATTTAAGGTCCACAGTTTGAATTCACCAGCTACTCCATGGGAGAAGGATGGGTACTCTCCTGTGGAATTTCCTGCCTCTGAAAAACCACTGGAGGGTCAGCTGTGGGTCAGTTCTGACAAAATGAAAAACAAAACAAAACAACCCAGCACAGAGTTTAAGGTGGTTAGCACAGAAGAGGAAGACCTTGGAGGAGATGGATTGACACAGTGACTATGGCAATGAGGGCAGGTGTGTCAGAGACCGCAAGGATTGGCTGAGGAGGTTCATAAGGCCGTTAGGAGTTGGAATTGACTCGAAGGCACATAACAGGAGGCAGGGTGGCATGGATAAAGTTGTGTAGTAGTCAGTCAACAGACAGCCCTGAGCACCAGACAGTATGTGTCAATCTAAGAGAAAATCAGAACCATCTGGAAAACCTTTTAAAAATACTGAAGATCAGGACACTTCCCAGTTAAATTAGAATAGGGCTAGGCATTTGCAATGACTGTGTGTAAAATTTTTGTTGTTCAAAGCAACGTATACAAAGCAAAACAGATCCCAATTCAACAGTTTCTACGATGCACAATCCAGTGATATTGATCACTTTTAGTTGTACAACCATTCTCAGCCCTGTTGCAGACCGAGGGTAAAGTAATAATGAGACAGAGAACCAAAAATGAGATAAGAGAAAGTAAAGACAGGGGGCCAGCAGTCCTGATGACTGAAGCACCCAAGCCATGCCTCTCTGTGTATTTATTGAGACTCATCAGGAAGGTAAACAAACAATAATCACAAGGAAGTAGAAAACAAAGGATCATGGGAAAGTCTTTTGCAGATAAGACAGAGTTCTTCTCTATTGTTTATCTTATGCTAATCTCAGGAGACAGGGATGTTGACTCTTTTTTTTTTAATTTTATTTTATTATTTTTGTGTGAGTGTACCATCAAATCAGATCTGACTGGTACAGGAGGAGATTGTCCCTCCTTCCTCGGCAGAGCATCTGGTGGATTCGAACCGTGCACCTCTGGGATTGTAGTTGCAGCTCCTCACCACTAGGCCACCAGAGCTCCCCTGGATGTTGACTCTTAAGGAATGTCTTAGTGCCTCAGGGTGAACTCCAGCTTTTATTACTCCTCCCTTATATCCTGATACCGCATTTGTTTTATTATTAATATTAAATTTTATATTCGGCTTCCCACACAGCCCCCTTTCTCTGAGCAGTTCCTCCCTTATTAAAAAAAATTACTGCCCTCTCCTCTCCGTTTCTTATTTTTGAAGTTTCTGTTGCCAATCTAATTCCATACATATAGATCTTAAAAAGAAAATCGTTTTGACAGAACTATACTACCTATCATTCAAATTTTAAGAAGATTTCAGAAAATCTTTTTTGGTTTAAGGTTTACATATTATCTCAGGGCAATAGTTTTCACAGGGATTTATCCAGCCTCCATGGCTCCAGAAAGTCTGATGTCCGTAAATATTTGAAATTCTGTCCTGCACTTCTTGCCCTTTTGATCAAGACTCTCATAGAATCTTTGATTGTTTGTAAATGGTAGCTGAGTACAGTTCTTCTGGTTTCATGGCAAAGAAGCCAGTTCATGGAGGCAATGAGTACACATTCCATATCCTCCTCCTATTTCTAATTCTTCCTCTGTTGCTCCAAGTGGAGGGAGAACACTTTTGTACCTTGGATGGCCACTTGCAAGCTTTTAAGACCTCAGGCACTATGTAATGAAGTAGGAGGTGGAAGTGTTAAACAAATTAACTGGGCTGTCCCATTAAACCCTAACTTCAAGCCTCCAAACCAAGACATGATATCCCATGAAGATTTAGATTGTACATAAGTAGCTTCAACAGCTATTCTTTTTTTTTCATTGTTCAAATATATCACACAACTTTTGCCTATTCATTTTTTTACAAATGTACACATGACAGAAATTGCATTGATTAGCTATGAATACTATCTTTTACCAGTCTGACTCTTCTATTACTGTAAGCCAAACCTCAATAATTCCATAAGCAAGGAGCCCTCCTTCCTGCCCCAAAGAAACGTTGGTCTTCAAATATTTGCCTATTCTTTATATATTTGCTATAACACAGTATTTGTTCTTCTCTGAATTATTTCACTCAGCATGTTTTCAGGTTCCCTTCACTTACTGAGTAGGTGAATTCCATCATATCTGTGTACCAATTTTTGTTGATCTATTCAGTTTATTTCCAACTTTTGTCTATTGTGAATAGTACGTTTGTGAACATTGGTGTACAAGTGGTTGTTTCTCTGCTTTCTAGTCACTTGGGTATACAACCAGGCGTGGAATTGCTGGGTCATACGGTAGCTCTATTTTAGTATTTTTTGGAAGAATTGCCACATTGCTTTCCACGATGGCCATACTCTTTTACTTACATTTGCGCCAGCAATAGATAATGGTTCCAATTTCCCCACATCCTTGTCAACAATTTTTTTATCATTTTTTAATTAATCTTAATGAAAATTTACAGACTTTGGATTTCCATTCATTCTTTGTTGCACTTTTCTCCCTGCCCACCACTCCCCACCAGTACACTCTTCTCTTTGAAAAGTAAAAGTTCCCCCATTGTTTTACAATCCCTTCCCCTAGATCCATTCCACTATGCAGCCTTCGTTCTGGACCCCTGTAATAACAATAACACCTAATCACATATCTCTATTAAACAGTTTTCTCCCTCATCTGTTTCAATGCAGTATACATCATTTATCCCATCTTTCTCAGTCTCCCCGCTCCCCAACCCCGCTGTCAGTCCTGTTTTACAACAGTGGCACTATGCAGCATTTGTCCCTTTGTGACTTAGATATTTCACTCGCATAACGTCCTCCAGGGTCACCCATTTTGAATAATATTGCATGAGTTCCTTGTTTTTCAATGCAGTGTAGCATTCCATTCCATTCCATTCGTTTGTGATTGGGCACTTGGGTTGTTTCCAACTTCTTGCTTGCTATCGTGAACAAAGCCACAGTAAACAGGGGTGTGCATCCAACATTTATTTTTAACCGTAGCCATCCTAGCATGAGTGAAATGGTATCTCACTGTGGTTTTCATTTGTATTTGTGGCGTTAGGACTCTTGAAAATGGCTTTCATATCCATTGCCTAAACCCCCTTTTGGGGCATGATCTCCAGCTGCCTCAACTCCAGGGACATGGTTCACCTGTTGATCAGCGTCTTCAACAGCATCAACAGTGGTGACGCCAACATAAGACAGAGCAAGCTAATTTGACTGTAGAGAAAAGGTGAGGCAGAGCCCAATAGAGCCCTGGAGATGGACAGAGTTAAAGGTTTTGCTTAAAAAAAATTTAAAAAAGGTTTTGCTTAAAAAAAAAAGGTTTTGCTTGCTGGCTTACTGAAGAGAGCTGACTTGTGACTGCTATGAGACAAAGCTTGCTAGACAACTGAGGAAATCAGTCTTGTGTTTGTGTTGCTAGGGTGAACCTGGGCTTCCATTTGTTGAATAACTGTGTGAATTGAGGAATTGTGTCTTGCTGTTAACCTGGCTTGGGACTACTGTTCACTAAAACTTGGGGCTTTCACTGTGCCCCTCCCCCTGTAACCCCCTATCCTAAATCCTTAAGCCCACAACTGTGAGAAAGTCAAGTCTTGTGAGTCAATTTGCAGTGAGTATCAGACCTAGTGATTATTAAGTGTAGGAGGCTTGCTCCTTTTGCAATGTGAAGGTATCTTCTCATGTATGTGATGGTGATTGAATGTCCTCTTTTGTGAAATGAATCAAGTTCTTTGCCCATTTAGTGGCTGTGTTATCTTTTTGCCATCAGGTACATTTGTAGTTTTTGAAAGCTCTTTGGTTTTACTATACGGCCTGAAAGCCAAGAGAGCTGGACAAGTAGCTACAGGAGCACAGAGACAGCAGGTGCCAATTGTAGCCTTTCAGAAACACTGCCCAAAATTGCAGTCCAAGCATTCCACTGAAGGAGTCTGAGTGGTAGGAGTAGGGATCTGGCAACCAGGCAATGGAGACCATTATCTTGGAGACCAAAGCAACGTGACCCTCCTTATCACAATACTCGCCCAGAGCTTAGGCTCTCTCTGGGCATGGCTAACTAAGACAGGCCCTCAGAGGTACCAGGAGCACAGCAGGCCTTCCCTCAAGCAGATGCCAAGAGAATGAAACAGACCCAGAGACTGAAGGCCAAGATCAAAATATCACGCCAAGGCCTTGGACTCCTAACATCTCTGCAGCATGGTCATCTCAGCCATGACCAAGTGCTGTGGGTCGTCTGGGCAGCTGTGTCTGAGCTCTGAGGTTCCATGAGCAGGAAGGAAGCTTCCCCTGGGGACTTAAACCTTATCCTTATGGGTAGAAAACTGGCAGCGCCATGCCACCTCAGGGCTCCAGGAACCAATGTGCAATTACTTATTACATTCCTTCATGTCAAGAGAGGACTCTGTTCAGTCACAGAGAACAGGACAAGACTTCACTTGATGGCAGGACTCCCAGGGGAAAGTAAGCAGAGACACCACGTCATGAGCACATCCAATTCCAGTCTTTTAATCAAAACTCTACAGGTTTGGCCAGCTCCCTGGGACCTGGCCTCTCTCTGTCTCTTGGGCTCCATGATCTGGCCCCGGGTCTTCTCACTCCTGGGTCCTCACGTCCTGGCGTCTGGTTCCATCTTCCCATCAGTCCTTGATGGTGACTCCTGCCCAGCCTACTCTTGTGCCAGGAGCCCTTCACCCTCATCACTCTGAGGGTTGTCTCCCTCATAGCCGATCCATCCGGGGGTTCCCTCCCAAGGGCTGCTATCAATAAGGCCCCTTGCCCCCTGCCTCAACCCCCATCACCACAGCCAGTAAAGCCTCAGTCAGGGGCCCTGTCTCCTCGCCTGCTGCCTCCACGAGCCCCATTAGGGCCAGGGCTCGCTTCCGTGGGCACTGTCCTGGCCCCAGTATCCAGCGGGCACAGTATCCAGCTAGCCGGGGCCGGCCAAGGCGGAACACTTCACCCACTGACTCTGGACCTCCTTGGGGCTGTAGGTGGACATGGCCCACAGCTTCTTCCAGTTCCTCTTCGAGGCTGGGCAGTAGGAAACGGCTAGCAGCCTCCAGTGCTTCCTCTGCCTCTGAGCCAAGCAGGGGCTGGCCTGCAGGGGGTACGGGCCTCAGGGAAGCGCCACAGCCACGGCAGCCATGCAGGTGATGCAACACAGGCCAGGCAGCACCTGGTGACAGGCCTCGAAGTGGTACCAGGTCCATCTGCGCTTCAATGAAGCTGCCAGCCAGCAGGGCCTGGAAGAATGGGGAGGCGGTAGAAGAGGTAGCCCGCTGGGCGGGGAGCCGCAGGCCTGAGTCCAGGAGGAAGTGCAAATCGGGGGTCAGGGCCGGGGCTGGGCCCAGCAGAGGTTCATAGAGACAAGGGGAAGGTGGGTCAAGGTCCATGGAAACTGCAGACGGTAGGACTGGGCCCACAGTGGGAGACATCAGGCTCTGGAGGCAGGACAAAGAGTCTGCAGCAAAGAAGAGGAAGAGGGGGTGCGGGGCTGGCTGGGTTAGTGATGCGAGGAGGAGACGGAGGCCTCCCTGGTCCAGAAGTAGCCGGCGCAACAGAGAGGGTTTCCCGCAGATGAAGGGCAAAGTCAGTGCACAGGCCACACGGTCTTCGGGGCTCCCTGAGAGCAGCAGGTGGGTCAGGGCCCCTATTCCAAAGGGAGACTCGGCTTGCACGGTCAGGTTCTGTAGCAGCATCTCACCTGCAGGAACAGGTAGAGCAAGTCAGTCTGGGGGTGGGTGCTCAGAGCAAGGCAGGGGTGGGGTGAAGACAGGTCCCTCAACCCTGGGAAGGTAGGTGGGCAGGTTCTCCGTGCATGGGAGAGGGAGCTGACTGCTGACTGTGGGGTCAGAAAGAGGAAGTCAAGGGCCAGAACACAAATTGGGTGGTCAGGGTACATGTCTGGCCCTCAGGTCTGGAGTCAGGGCCCAGAAAGCAGGGAAGTCTCTGGCAGGATTGGAAGAAGATAGGCCAGCATGATACCTGCGCTTTGGTTCACAGGTCGCACAAAGGGCAGTCAGGACAAGGAACCAAGACTCAGCGTAGGGCGAGAACCATAGGAGGCAAGATGCTATAGTCAGGGGGTTCAAGGCTGGGGTCAAGCTATCTGGAGCTCAATGAAGGTACCTGTGAGTGGGTGGGGCAGAGCAAGGACTTACCTAGTTCCCGGTGCTGGCTGTGGCTGGCAGGGCGTGCCCGCGGGGCAGGCCAGTCATCGGGCGCGACACCGAGCACCAGCCAGGCTCGCAGCAGCGCGGCGCCATAGCTCCTCACGAAGGCTTCCAGGCAGGCGGGGTTGCAGGTGAGGCGAGCCAGGATGCGCAGTGCGCGCGGGTTTGGTGGACCAGGTGCCCCGGTCACGTAGGCTAGCAGGCCGCACAGTGCTGGCCCCGTCACAAGCGCCCCGCTTGGGTCAGGAGCCTGGGAGAAGCGTGACAGCAGCAGCAGTGCTGGGCCCTCTTGTCCCCAGGGCTCTTCGGGGGTGGCAGCCGAGCTGCGTCTGGGGGTGCACAGTGTGCGTGGGGACTGCAGTGAGGCTGCGCCTGGGACCGGGCTGGATGGCTCTGAGGACTCTGGGGGCAGGCAGTGCTCAGGGAACCAGTCGGCAGAGATGTCTCCGGGGCCTCCAGCGTAGCCCTCGGAAATGAGCCATGACCTGCAACGAGAGAGGAGAAAACTGCTGATGTTGGAGAGGAGGTGGGCCCATAGCTGGCAGGTGAGAAAAAGCGGTGGGAGAATAAAAAGCCCTCACAAAAACATCATGTGCTTAGGTGCCGGGAGAACTCCATCTGGAGTTTATGAGGAGGTACAATCTGGTCAGGAGAAACAGACAACAAAGCAAATAGCTAATTGTACGTTGCTGTTATGTACCGTGAGTTGGAATTGACCCATCGTCAGTGGGTTTTCAATTCACCCGGGAAGAGGCTGCCCATCTTGCCTAGTTGAGAGCAACTGGTGAATCTGAACTGTGTGCCTTTAAACTGGCAGCGCAATTCCTTATAGCTAGGCCACCAAGACTTCCCTGATGGTAGCACTCCTATGATTTAGATGGTGTAACAGAGCTGGGAGAGAGAAGAGCAGATGATGGCAGCTCCCACTGAGAAGAATTAAGGTGTGTGTGGGGACGAAGGATGTGGGAGGAAGTGCGTTCCAGGCAGAGGGAACAGCTGGCCAAGAGGCTCAGAAGCCAGCCTGTCATGTGCAAAAGCTAGTAAAACGACCTGTGCAGAAAGGGATGGTCTCTGGGGAGTGGGAGGAGGTGGTGGCAGAGAGCTGGCACGAAGGCTGACATTACCGAGCACTGCTTAGTGCCAGGAAAGCGTCTTCACTTAATTCTCACATCAGCCCTATGGACAGGTATGTTTTCCTCCATCTTACAGGTAAGGATTTGGAGGCTTGGTGACGTGAGCTCACTTTCCCAAGATGTCTCAGCTTGTAAACTGTGGTTCCAGAATAAGAACTCAGGCTCCAGAGCCAAGCATTTGAACCTGTGAACACACCTCCCACCAGGGAGCCTGTCTGGGGCTCAAAGTTCAGAGATACTGGGTCAAGGGCAAGATGAAGCCAGGGGAAGAGCGGAATATACTTAATGGAGACCAGGAAGAGGGCATATAAGAGGAGAACAAGGAATTAGGAGGCAAGTGTTTAAAAAAGTCATAAATCCTCACTGAAAAGAAAATGAAATAGTATAATAATAAAACCTGTCAACAGAAATCTTACTAGGCTGACTGGGTGTGGAGGCTGGTAGGGGAAACACAAGCCCCTGCCCAAAGCTATGCCACCTCCCGAGCTCCCCAGACAGGACTCACCTGAGGCTTCGGAGACTTCCAGGCTCTGCCCGCTCGGGGATCCGCTCCTCAGGGAAATCCCAGGAAGCAGCTTCTTTGCCCTCTTCTTCCTCTTCACCAGCTTCGCCACAGAGCTGCTCTGCCAGGAGGGGCACGAGGCCCAAAGCCTGCAGCCGGCTCAGGGCCCCGGCGTCATAGAGGAAGCCCGCAAGGGCGGCCACAACACCAGGGTGCCAGGCTCTGGCCTGGGAGTCGCGCAGCAGGCCCATCAGCAGCTCCAGACCACCAGCGTCCCGCAGCCGAGCCCGGTTGATGGCTTCCCTGCAGAGCAGACACACGGCCCGCACCAGGGGCTGCTGGGAGGCCGGGCTGGCTCCGTTGGAGCCCCGGAGCCGCCGCAGCTCTCCGAGCAGCACCTCCACACCACCAGCATTGCCTAGCGCAGGCCGCACCAGGCCCTGGGCACACACGTTGGCGAGGGTCAGGATGGTAGCCTCGCGCACAGCCCCTTTGGGGTGAGAGGCAAGGCTGACCAGTGGGCCGAGCCCCCCGCCCAGACTCAGCTGCTCAGCAAAGGCCCGGGAGCAGCCTTGGCTCAGCTCCAGGAGGGCACGGACCAGGGCAAAGGTCAGTGCGGGGTCTGGGGTGGAGGCCAGGAGCTCAGCCAGTGGCTGAACGGCTCCCTGCTGGGCCAGGGCCAGGCGGTGCTGGGGGGAGTCCGCGAGGTTGCGGAGGGCACGTACCACACTCTGCAGGCACTGCGAGTCCTGGCACGCTGTCAGGCTCTTGATGAGCAGAGGAACAGCACCTGGAGAGGGAAGGGGGACATCAGAGTTAATGCGAGCCTGGACACCCAAGCCCCTCCCCTATGGTGGGTGCCTGCTGATCCCCACCCTCAGCCTTCTCACCAGCAGAGTGGATGTCCCTGCAGCTCTCAGGTTCCATGGCCAAGTTCCCCAGCGCTCGGGCTGTTCGGTTCTGGATGCTGTCTGTCTTCACACACCGAAGAATGGTAACTGCAAGGAGAGTTTGATCACATTTTATCTCTCTCATCAGTCAGCTCAAGATTGTCGCCTGAGAGATGAGGCGGCTTCCAAAGGATGCTAACGTTTGAGCTGGGTTTGGCAGATTAAATAGGTAGAAATGTGCTAGAAAGATAGAGGGGAGAGTGTTATGGGGCCTCAGGTTGGAAGATGCCATGGAAAGGTCCAGAACGGTGGCCACTGTCTGTGCCCTGGGTGAGGGCACTGGGACTACACAAAGTTTTAAGAAGGGGAGTAACATGATACAACCCAGCAGTCACGTGCAGAGAGTTACCCCAGAAGAAAGGAAATGTAGTGGGGAGAACAGTGACAAGGCTTGTGCAGAAGTCCAGCTGAGAAATGACAACAGCTTGAACCAAGCGCGCTACCAGCCTTGCCTAGGACATTGGCACCAGTCCCTGGACATATGGCAGCAGCGGGACGGATTCAGGAGATATTAGATAAGAGTAACATGATGGTTATTCACAAACAAAAAGTTATCATTTCATGAGGGCCAACTGATGTGCCAAGAAACACTGGTAGCTTCGTGTGTAATGTATCAGGCCACTAACCAAAAACTCAGCAGTTCTGAACCATCAGCTCCTCCCCAGTCTCCTCTTGCAAAGACACAGCCTCAGAAACCTGATGGAGGGTAGCTCAGAGTCGGAACCAACTCAATGACAGGGGGTTAAAGAATGTGCTGAGCTGCTAACGAACAGCTGGAAGTTCGAAGCCACTCAGGGGTGTCTTGGAAGAAAGACCCTGGTGACTGACTTCTGCAAAGTCCACCACTTAAAACACTTACAGAGCAGCCCCCCCCCCATTCTACTCTGACACACATGGAATCATGAGTTGGACTCAAAGGGCAACAACTGGATTTTTTTTGTAAATATTATGTCAGGCATCTTGTCAAACAATTTATAAACGAAATGTATTTTCCACAAACTTAAAAGTATACTGTTGTTATGTACTATCGAGTTGAAACTGACTCAATAGCTGTCTCTCCAAGTTGGTTTAATCATACAGGAGGAAGTTACCTACCTATCCCGCAAAGCAGTTGGGAGAATCGAACCATGTGCAGTTCGAATCGTGGGCTGGCAGTGCAACTCCTTACCCACTAAGCCATCTGAACTCTTCTAGAATATATTAGTACTTCACTTTAAACAAAAGATTATTTTGTCAAAATGGGCAGAAAAACAATTCCGAGTTTGCACGGTTGTCACTAGGGGGCGCCGATTCAACTCAACCAAACTGTGGTCCAGACAGTTCCCAGTCATAGCAACAGCCACATTGGGTTTCTGAACTCTGATGGCCCAGTGGTAAGGAGTTGTGCTGCCAACCCAAAGGAAGGGGTTTGAGTCCACCAGCTAGGTTGCAGGGGGAAGATGGGCAATCTCCTTCTGTGTCCTTACCGCTTCTAAAAACCTCTGGTGGCCTAGGGGGTAAGGAGGTGGAGCACTGCCAACCCAAAGGCTCTGGTTCAAATCCATCTGCTGTTCTGTGTAGGTAATATGGAAATCCCACGAAAATCCACAGCAAAGATGCTTCTGAGTTGGTTCCAACTGCATAGCAGTTGGAACTTCATTTTACAACAAAGTTTCGTGCATAGGGTCGCTGTGAGTTGTTGTGGACTCGACGATGCTTAACATTTTACAAGGAATTGTAGCCATGGCGGTCTAAAGTGAACTGGTCAGATGGACACAATTTTGCTGTACCACTGTTATTTCAATGTAAATTATGCATTTTTGCTTTTATCACATGGCTCCTTGTTCTTATTATTTGTCCTTATTATTTGTGCATATCATGCTCGTTATATGCGTATGCACAAGATTTACACAGACGAGTTACATGCAAAATTTCAGTGCTGCCTCCCAGCATAAAACTAAACACACAAAAGGCATTCAGAGCTTGCTTATAAATATCAGAAATGGGGGACAGGAAGTATCCAGGAGGTTAGATGTTAAAGAAGCTTGAGGTAACAGCTGTAATTGCCCAATCGCTTGGGGCTGGAAGTAAAGGGCTTAGGGGGAACTGTCAGGCTAAGAAGCGTGACAACATCAGATAAGGCCACTGTGACATCACAAAGCACGTTTCCCCAAGGCACACAAAGAACTCAAGACTCCGCCCAGGCTCAGACAGGGAGGGAGGTGCGGGTGAAATCTTCAAGGGAGAGTCAATCACTTACCCAAAGAGAGGATGCCTCCGAGCCTGCGCACTTCGGCCCGGCAGGCCCCTTCGGTGCAGCAGTTGGCTAGGATGCTGAGAGCCAAGTCCAGCGTCTTGCGCAGGCGCGCTGGAGGCCAAGTCCTAGAGGAGGAAGCAGCGGAGGGGGCGGAGCCCGGTGAAGGGGCGGAGCCATTCGAACCCGCTGAGGGGGCGGAGCCGGGGCTTGACGGGGGTGGGGCGGGCTCCGCGGCTGCCGTTCGCCGTAGCAGAACAAGCAGGGGGCGGAGCCCGCCGCGTGCCCGGAAGCGCTCGATTCCCCCGGCCGCCTTGACGTGGCGCGTGCGGAGGGCTAGGAGCGCACGGTCCAGGGGTGTCTCGTTAATAGTCGTGTCCTTTCCCTCACCCAAGCCCTCCCCGGCCGCCACCGTGAGCTGCGCGAGGCAGAACGAGAGCGAGTCCGTGGAGTATGGCTTTGCAGTCGCCATCTTGGCTCGAGCCGAGGCTCCGCCCCTCCACCCCCTTTGCACCTCTGAGGGGAGCGGAACTGAGTAGGGGCGTGGTCTCTCTGAGGCGCCCGCCGGAGTGATGAAGCTGTTCGGAGGTTGTACTTCTCCATCTCCAGACGCTGGTTGAGCCACAGTTGCAGAAAGCACGTCGTGATTCATAAGTCGTTGTGTGCGAGCCCAAGAGGCGCGCGCGATGTGTGCTGAGATATATATATAGTCCGTGCCCGCTCTAGGGGCGCGCGCGGTGTGTGCTGGGATATGTAGTCCGTGCCAGCTCCAGGGGAAGTTCCCTCTACTACAGGCCTCTGAGTTGACCCAGTGTTCCTGGACAACTCAGATCGCGACGTCCCTATACGGTGCTGCTCCACGTGACTCCACTACTCCTCGGGCGTGTCTGCGGGAGCGACCGCCTTCCCTCTTTCAGGCTCACTCGGTCTCTCCTCCCCACCCCCAAGCGGCGCCTGGGCCCAAAATGTCCAAAGTAATGGACGCTGAGGACCCCGAGCTCTGCGGACAGAGTCAAGTTTTTAACAAGGGAGGCAGCTGGGGAGCTTGTGTAGCTTAGCCAGGTGAACGAGAGTTAAGCCCACCGAGACCGTTCACAGCGACTTCCTAGAGCGGCACGGGCCCTGCGATATTTCCGTTTCCGGTATTGGGCCCGAGGGTCTCCGCTTTCCTGTATCCGATGGCCAGGGACCTGGGCCCTTTTTACTCACGATCAAGTCGGCTGCTCCAGCAATGATGAAACCCCAGGAGAGTCAGAGCGGCGGGAGGGAGGATCGCCATCCGGAGTCCGAGATCCCGCCTCGATTGCAGAGCTGTTCCCGCTAACAGCCTTTCGCTGGTGTGGAAAACGCTGCTAAGGCTGCAGTGCTGGTGGTGTCCGGTTAAGCTTTTGCCTTGAGCGGGAAGACACGCAACTCATTCGCTCATTGATGATTGTCGAATCAGAACAGGCTCATAGTTGCCCTTCCCACAAGTTTTTTAAAGGCTGTAAATCCCCTGAGATTATCTGTCTTACCCTTAAGAGGTATTAAAGGATTCGACCAATTAAAGGCGTGGCTTGCCTCCCGGTCCTAGTTCACCACCAAACCCAACACTTCCAGCGTGGCCCGGATCTGATTAAGCATCACTGGGTACACATTGACAAGAAACCACACTCCTGTGGCTGCTGCCTCCGGCGCCCTCAGATCCAATCTCAAACGCCCATTCATCACTACCCTGCCCCCTTGGCCACGGGCCTCACAGGTGCCTAGAGTGTGGCGTTGCCTTTGGCTGCTGCTTGAACCTGGCTAACCACCAACACAGATGACAAACCCTATGTCAGAAATAATGAGGATGGCACAGGATAGGACAAGGTTCAGGTCCGTTGCCCAGAGGCTCCCTATGAGTTGGACTCGATGGCACCTAACACCACCTTTGCTGAATGCAGCAAGACTTCTGATATCTGCTGCTCTGACCTGATTGGGCACCAGTGAATACACACTGGTAAAAAGCCCTCCTGTTGTGGGGATTGTGGCAAGAATGTCACCAACACCTCAGACTGCTTGCAGCATCAGTGCACCCACGACCCGATGTCCCGAATGTGTCCTCACCTTTAGTGAATGCACCCAGTTCACTGAGCACCAGCTCATCGATCCGGATGATGTGTCTGCCTGGAATGGAGCTAAAGCTTTTCTCACACTTGCAAGCTCCTTAAATGCTGGAGCTTTCCTGACTGTTGAAAGGGATTTGGGAACGACTCAGCCTTGCTGCAGCACCAACAGACCAGAAGCCTTACATTTGTACAAAGGCAGCAAGAGCTTCAGCCGCTCCTACCTGCTTGTCTACCAGGTGGGCCACAGCAGCAAGAAACTCCATGGTCTGCCTGCATTGCGCCAAGGCCCTCTGCTTGGAGCAACAACCCAGGCCAATAGCAGCAAACTCATGAGCATGACAGCCCTTGCAAATATCCCTGGCTTTAGCTTGAACTCAAACTTCAGTTTTGATTTGACTTAGTCCTTGGATGGTTCAAAATTGGGAAGGGTGTACGCCAGGGATGTGTCCTATCTCCATACCTTTTCAACCTGTATGCAGAGCAGATTATCCGAGAGG